ATGCCTCGATTTGAACACGGTTACGTTTAAAAGAGAAATGAGTGCGCGGTTTGCGGCTAAAATTTGAAAAACAGCGCGGTTTTCGGAGATGCGTACCCCCTATAATAGACCCCCTTTTGAGATTAGTGAGATGACCACCCATGCATAGACATGATGATCATTGATGAACTTTAGACTTTGCTAGTGCTTTCCTTTCCTTGGGTGTAAATATAGACGAGCAGAATTAGTACCCTCCCTCGGACTAAGCCCTACACGCTCCGCGCGTGGCTCGGGGATAACATACAATATAATTGATGAAAGAGTGCTATAAAGCTGTATGGGCATGAGCGTTTTAAATGCCTTAAAATGCTAATCGTAACGAGTGTTGATGAAGAAAATTGGGATTTGAGAGCATTAATTTGTTTAAGGAATGACTACAGTGAGGTTATAAGCTATTATTATATGGCAAGCATTACTTCCGGTGAAATAGTGGCCTGTTATTGGCTGAGAAGCACTTTCAGCGGACCATTATTTTCCCATAATGGACCGGCGGTCCATTACGTAAAAACAAACGCATGCATTTTATAAAACAAAACAGCAAAACTGGTTGAAAATTATAACAAGACGCTCTATGGAGCGTTAACTCGCTGGGGCTATACAAATACGCACATTACTGTATATGATACCAGGTACAGTACACAGCTATTTCAATTAAGATCTAAGCCTGGCCCCGAGCTAAGCGGAAAAGTCGAATACTAGCGCGAATGCTTAACACACTAAAATGCGGTACACTACAAATAAAACTTCCGGCGTTTATGCCCACAAGCAGTGCTTCCACTTGCAAGGATTTTTCCTTGCAGCAAGGAAATATTGGTCCATGCAAGGAATTTACAAGGAAATGAAATGCACAAGGAAATGGCAAGGAAAAATACAAAAATTAAAGGAAATTGCAACGATTTCTGTAACTTATACCAGTTTCACGTTTAAAATCACTTAAACCAGTAAAAACGAACTTATAAGTAGTATAGGCCTAACAAAAGAGGTACGAAAGATCTGAAAATGCCATTTCCGGCGATCTGGAGACTATAAATTTCAAAATTTGTCGTTCAGCACCTTCTACCATCCAACCCCTCCACCATTATCAAGCACCTTACGGCCCTGGATGAGCATAAACATATATGTGGAGCAGATACTTTCATGGAGGGAACTCTTGAAAGCTTGCCCAAAATTTCAGGCAATGTAATGATACTCGATTTCTCGTAGGGTCTATGACACATTTGGCTCAAATTGCCTGAATTTTCTTGATTTTTTCCACCGTTTGGGTGGCAAGGAAATTTTTGGGGAAAAAAGGAATTTTGGAGATTGTAAAAGGATTTTTGAACTAGCGGTTGTGGAAGCACTGCCCACAAGTAAAGTTATATTTTATTGTACGCTACATTCTTCTGTCGGCCGCCAAACGGTCCAAACTAAAATATTCTGGGGCTTTTTGGCTCAAAATATTATCAAAATGAAGAGAGAAGTGAGACGAATCCACTGGTATACGGCCGAAAAAGAGAAAAACAACGATACCAAAGTTATCAAAGATCAAACATACTGCATTTTTTATAATTTGAGCGATTTGTCAACAAATAATACAATTTCGCTTGGCTTTCAAAGACAAAGGCCATAAATCGCTAGAATACTGTTGTCAGTTGTTTAGTAATACATTTGACATCCGTAGGTACAATTTCTCATTCGTATAAGTACAATTTCTTACGCTGAATCGAACGGTGGTATTTTTATTCTTATTGCGCCATTAATTAGGCAATACAAATACAAGTAAGGACAAACGTATTGCGAGTGATTTGTCAACAATACCGTACTGCGAGCGATTTGTCAATACAATTTCGCTTGATTTTCAAAGGCCATAAATCGCTAGAATACTTGTGTTTAGTAATACATTTGGCATCCGTAAGTACAATTTCTTACGCTGAATCGAACGGTGGTGTTTTTATCCTTATTGCGCCATTAATAGGCATTACAAATACAATATCATATTTCACACTGACTACACTGCAGTTTTCACAGACTGTTGTTCGATAAATTTCATATTGATATGACACCAATATGCTTCTCATAAAGTAGTTATTTATTATAACTACGTTGTGCAGTTTAAGTTATAACCTTTTACCTTGAAATTGTCTTTGGCTCGTTTTATTTACACAGATTCAGTATATTATGATCGTGCACGGGAATTCGACGATCCAAATTTCGGATTTTCAGAGTCGTGAACCAAGAAAAACGCATTAAATGAACTAGCAAGAATGTCCAGAGTTAGTCACAATGCAAAATCCATAGAAAGCAAGTACAATTCGTTCAAAATTTTCAAGAAAGTCCCCGCCATTTTGAAAAGGATCAAGCAGCTCATTAATATTCTATTTTGTGGCTATCGACGATCCGTGATCCGTGACAAATGCATGCCGAAACCTTTAACCGAGTAATTATTTTGTTATTAATAAGATATCTGCCAATGGTTTTAAGTGGAAAGTAAGTACTAATATGCTACTAATATGCATTTCAAATCATGTATTTTTTTGTTTGTTTCAAGTATTATTATAAATGCCTATAAATACCATATAATAAACTTCTTATTGACCTCGCTTGCTCGGTCTTTACAGAGAAATATAAGTACGATTGTGTTTATTTGAAATACCTTGTCATCAACCTTTATATCGCATAGTTTCATCCAGGTTTCATCACGATGAAAATTATGCTGATTTTAAATTTTTTTTCGATAATATCTTGCCGGCTACTACGTTATGTAATTCAAACATTGTATTACACGGACTGACCATAGTAGCGTGGGCTCATACTAGAACGATTGACTCTGTTTCACACGTACAAAAAATAGAAAGGGATGAAACGCCCGATCGTGAAATATTTCGAATGGATATAACTAGCGTGTTTCTGAACCAAAACCTTCTATTTTTTGTGTACAGTTTAGATATGATACACTTAGGATACCTGTACAAGGAAATTTTAAGAAACGGCTATTAAACCGAAATTTTTGGGACTACAATTTTGGCTTATATATTTTGTTTCAACGTGCACCGCAACACATGATGACGGAAGTGACGTAGTTACGCACTTAAAAGATATTGCGAATGACGTAAACTATTTTTCGAATTGATTCATATATATTACAGGCTCATACAGTATTTTTATGATCAGTGTACAGTTTCAAAATAGCAATACGCTTCGTATAAATTGTCACTGAATTGAATTGTCACTGAATTGAATTGTCACTTATTGAAAGAATTGTCACTTATTTAATTTGGTAATTCATACAAAGCCTACAAAATAGAATCCAAATTGCACCGGTGTTTATACTACAAAAAGGTCTATATTAGCCGAATTAACGAAACCGTTTCAGAGTTTATTTAAATTCACTTATTTAATTTGGTAATTCGTACAAAGCCTGCAAAATACAAGCCAAATTGCACCGGTGTTTATACTACAAAAATGTCTATATTAACCGAATTAAGAAACCGTTTCAGAGTTTATTCAAATTTACTGCCATTTTTTTCGTTCCAGAAGTACATGTATAGTTTATTTTTGAATTTAAATAGTCTATTGAAAAATTTTAAGTGCATGCACACGCCGAAGAACTAGACTTTAAATCGTGACCGGTTTGTGTAAAGACTGCCGTTTGGATTTGTACAGTCATAGACAAAGTTCAAAGTCGTAGATATCTTCACGGTTGATCGATTCAAGAACAATTGTTTTAAAATTATTGAAAAGCTTTATACCATCTAGATACAAGAGCGTGTGTTGCTTTGCAACAAATTAAGTTTTTTTCTGAAACAGGTGATTCGCTTTTCTTTTAGTGTAAAAAAGTTCCATATTTGAGTTTGAATTTCGCAGTATTTTTTAAAATTTGTTATTGTTATTTAAATTATTAACCGTTAATTCAATTAAAAGTCATAGAAGATGAAAGGTCAATTTTTATTCAAATTCCGTCACCATGTGTTGCGGTGCACATCGAACGAAAGATTTTCGGCGTTTCATCCCTTTCTTATTTATTTACGCGTCACCCTCGGCATCCTTCCCGTAACACAATCGTGAGATGTTTGGAAATTGTCGTTGCAATGCAATGATGTTTGAATTATATGAAGTAGAAACCATGATCTTATCGAAAAAATGAAAATCGCCTATTAATTTTGATCCTTTTATGACTTTGTCTGCGGATTGTTGTGATATAAATATGCGATATTGATTGATGACAAGGTATTTATAAAACACAATTGTACTTTTCTGCCCCCTGTGGACCTTGCACTCGGTTATTAATAAGAAGTTATTAAAACATGCAATCAGTACTAATAATCCCCGAGCCAACGGCGCGGAGGCAAATTTTTTTTTCCGTAGACAGTCGGACTCCTCATTGATAGTCGGACGCATCATTGATCCGGGTCCAGGCCTCCGCGCATTATCGATCGATCCCTTCGTAACCCAATGGTACACCATATATCCATCACTCACGTTGTTCGTCTTCGACAACGTGTAGAAAGATGAGCGATTTGCTTCGCGATGCCATAGCAAAGCTGCAAACTTGTTTTTCTGGTTCCGAAAATACTCAAGAACTGCTATTGCGAGTTCAGTAAAACTATATATCATCCTTATTGAAGGATATCAGGATAAGATAACTAGCGTACATGTATAAATACTAGAAGATTCAAAGCGACCATCAAGACCACTTTCCACAAATATATAGATGTAGCTCAGTTGGTTAGAGCGCTGCACCGGAATCGCAGGGCCGTAGGTTCAATTCCTACCAGAGGACCTTGTGCTGCATTTTTCGCAGTCGTTCCTGGTTAGGTCTTAAAATGTATATATTCTCACTTGGATTCCAAACCCTAACATTCTAATATTAATTCCACCAAGTGAAGTGCAAGAATCTAAGTCATGAAGTCCACCTTATCACAACCCGCACACCCGATTACTTATATATACATGAACTTACGGTTACACTAGCTTAACAGCTGGCCTCTGTAGCTCAGTTGGTTAGAGCGCTGCACCGGAATCGCAGGTCCGTAGGTTCAATTCCTACCAGAGGACCTTGTGCTGCATTTTTCGCAGTCGTTCCTGGTTAGGTCTTAAAATGTATATATTCTCGATCACTTGGATTCCAAACCCTAACATTCTAATATTAATTCCACCAAGTGAAGTGCAAAAATCTAAGTCATGAAGTCCACCTTATCACAACCCGCACACCCGATTACCTATATATACATGAACTTACGGTTACAGCTTAACAGCTGGCCTCTGTAGCTCAGTTGGTTAGAGCGCTGCACCGGAATCGCAGGGCCGTAGGTTCAATTCCTACCAGAGGACCTTGTGCTGCATTTTTCGCAGTCGTTCCTGGTTAGGTCTTATATATTCTCACTTGGATTCCAAACCCTAACATTCTAATATTGCAGAATACCCATCCACTAGTAATATCATATCATGTAGCCCGGCCACTATTTCACTGAATACGTATATAGCAGGTCTTATTGCCTCGCTCTAATATACACAAATTAATCACTAAGACAATATTACCAATTGATACTATAAATGAAATACATGCAAGACTGTTAATATTTAATATTATGCATGCTTTATAATATAAAACTTTTTCTCCCAGCGACGCTAATTACACTGGCCTGTAAGGCCAAGTGTCTTAAATCCCCCTTTTTCTGTTTTTTTCGTAGTCGAGAAATCGAGTTTGCGTTAGCTCATCGCAGGCTCAGGGTGCAACGATGAAGCCAAAATGCCATCGATTCCCTCGATTCCATGATTTAGATAGCATAGTAATAAGCTCGTATATATGTAAGTAATAGCCGACTCATGCCATGCTTGTGGTGCATTTTTCGTTTATTAGCCTATAGACTTGTACGCACGCGCACAATTCCGAACTGCAATGGCGGCTTTTCACAGAGTGATCAAACTATATTTTACACAGTTTCGTTAAATTTTCAAAGAATTGTGCCGGTTTCCTATGTATGTTACGTTGTATCGTACTCTGGACTTTCTTGCGTATTGAATTAATGTGTTTTTCTTTGTGTAATGACTCGAAAACCACAAAATATAATATTTAGTACTCACGAAATATAATCCGCTTGAAAAGCTTTGTGGTAGCTATACTGAAAGATAAAGCGTGCGTTCAAAATACCAACAAGAACAAGAACCATTATTGTATCATTTGTATGGTTAATGGAACCATTATTGTATCATTTGCTAGACTTGCCACAAGTCGACCTCGAAGAAACGCATTTCGTTCGAGATCGACTTGTGGCAAGTCTACTCATTTACAATAACATTATTTTAGTTCGACGCGAATTTTAATACAAGTATGGTATCATATTTCATAATACAACAAACAATGTAAATTAGCCATATACATTTTGCCGAACATAACTTCGGCCCCTTTGGACATATCTTTTTCGTGATAATGTTATTGGAACCAGAATCGAAAACACTATTTATAGTGTTATTTTCAAGCTTGTGTCTTGAGATTCTCATCTTTTATTTCGGTATTTACAGAATATTTATATTTTTAGCGCGGCCCATGGAACGCACATGAAAACAACGCGCTGTTAGGAAAAACCGGAAATTGATTCTGTAGGTCGGCATGATTTGCACGTGCATCGATCTCCATTACGTCTCCCGAAAAGGTCTTTTATTTTTTTAAAAAGTCTATAAAATTTGCTTGCGGTTTAAGATTTGTATTCCTGTCTTTTGCACCATAGCACGTATCTCGTTATTTTCAGGCCAGTGTGAACGCCTGAGCAGGCGTCTTGTTAATCATAATCTGTCAAACACCAATGTCCGGTTTGAGGAACATATTTACATATCACACCACATTTAAGCTGTCTATAGCATGAGAATTTAATAGAATCTAACTAACTGTCGTCTTAATCTCAAAATACAGTAACTACTTGACTGCGTATCCACGTATCCACTAAAATATAAAGCTACCTATAGCATTAGAATTTGATCTAAATGCTTATCTAACTGGTTTCATATTATTCTCAAAATAACTACACTACTTGACTTGTATCCACTAGAATATAGAACTACCTTTAACACTATGACAATGTAATCTATTAATGCACTGTAAGTCAGTGTATGCCTCGTAGCTACATTTACTACCATGATATTTTAATCCATCAATCTATTTATTATTAATCTATTGAGAATTCAATAAAATAATATAGATGTTAATATACATCGTATCCATGCTATTATGATATTTGAAAGGTATAGCATACAAAAACAGTTACAAAAGCAAAGAAAGGCAAGTGGGAATGGCGCCATATAACTTAAAATATGTCAGATGTCAACACCACATAACTATGAAGCCACAATGTGTAATAAGAAGAGTATCGGCTGAAGGTTTTGTTTAAGGGCGCGGGTCAATAATGCGTCCGACTGTCTACGGAAAAAAAATTTGCGGCGCCGAGCGCCGTTCCTGGCGTAAGCCCGGGCAAGGGTACTAATTCTGCCCAGCTATTTACACCCGGGGAAACGAAAGCATTATCATCAATGATCACGGGCGCGGGTAAACGTGCGTGTTAGGTAGGTGGTCATCCTCACTGATCTCAAAAATATGGAGAACTGTAATGCATGAATAGCGAACACTGATAGGTCAAATTTAAAATTTGCATTATAACGACTGCATGATGACAGTGAAATAGCAAACATTTGTTGATTTGATGATTTCTTGCAGATGTATTTCATTTTTGCAAAATTGTGTAGATTTCAAAAGCTTTTTAAGAAAATAAAGGCGAAAGACTTGTAAAAGAAGGGAGTAAAGGCGCCGACGTTAACGAAGGTATAAAGTTTGTGTTAAATATTGATGTATTGTTCGCTTATATTAATTGCTTCAAAAGCTAACGTTGCAAATATTTTAAACGTTAAAGATACCATATAATTTCAGTGTTTCTATTCATTACGCTTTTTTATTATATTAAATAACTGAAGAAGCAAAGTTATTTGAATGCGAGAATTTGAAATTGTCTTATTTCACTACGTTTTTCGATAAAGGCACCTTAGTTTTATAAAAAAAACCATTTTAAAACGTCTTGCAAAGCGTTTGAGGTTGAATTTTATCTTAAATTTATTAAAGCTTATATTAAGTACAGCCTATAATAACGTATCTAATTAACATAGTATGTTTGGAGAATTGATAATTTTGTAATTAAAAGTGATGTTTCTAGGGAATTTTTCATTTGTAAAAATGTTCTTAACAAAATTATCGTGTTACCATGACAACTACTTTAAATACTTTATGTTCGGAAAATACAATGGTTTTGTCAGCAAGGCGAGGGGTTTCTGCATGCATGTATTTCTAGTAGATTAATTTATAGCAAAATTTAAATAAGAGCTGAAAGATTGCCTAAATTAATAAGATGTCAATTCTAATCTTGTATATAATATCCTATATATTGTTATTTTGTCTTATTCATAATTAGTTACGGCATGTAGTAGCCTTACGACTTGCTTCAAACATATTACTTAATAAAAAAATTTGCATTGTGAGATCAACTAACATTGCCCAAGGACAAATTAATTAAATTTCGGTTAAAAATTAGAAAAGTTTGTCGTACTTTGCCATGCAGGCAGAAAAAACTAGTAAATTAGTCCATTATAGTCATGCATATAATACATCTATTTCGCTGGCGGAAGTATATGCCTTGCAGTCTCCGAGTGCTCTCTAGTTGTAATATAAATTTCTATATATTATATATATATACTAGATTACTTATTTATGTAGTGCAAGGATCATTAATTAACGAATTATATATTAAACGAAATCAATTATAGTTTCCCAGGCGTTCTGGCGCCCAATTTATTAAACCAATTCAATCTATATTTTAATTTTTTAATGTATGCATATTGGACAAGAATCATTATTTGCCTGTAATTAATGGCAGTATAATTATTGCACAAAATATATTATAGGCACGTAAATACGAGATGTTGAGATATTTTAGACAACAATAGAAACCGAGTACTGCATCCTTTTTGTGATTCTTTCCATGAGAAATTAAGGATGAACGCCATTGACGTGTTGTTAAAAATTTTAATATTCTTCGTCGCAATTCAAAGTCACAGCAGTAAGTCAGAATCATCTTTGGAAAGCCAAAAGTATTTCAAGAAAATTAAAGATCATGGTAAGCATGCATAATGCAACATTCAAAATTCAAATATTATGAGTACAGTTGTATATTCACAGTGTATTCATCGAAAGATATAGTTTTTCATTCTTTGTCTTACAAAATTAATTTCAACCAAGGTAATATATCACTGACATTGATCTTATTGAATATTTCAGAACTAACAGTTTACAAAATATAAAATAAATTAAATGATAAAAACCCCAGTTTGTGCTAGACTTAGCACCAAGCCTGACCAGCCTCGTTTTGGTGCTTTTTGCATGCACATTTCAAAGAGCTATAATTTCCCTTGAGTAAGATGGATTACTTTAATCTTAAACTCTCACAATTTTCCTTAAAAATATGCTTCTTTTCATGGAAAATCTATCCTGGTAATGCATAAAATAATAAAGGAATACCAAATGATTTTCCGTGCAGGATTGCGTGATCCATGCACGAGGAATGTCGCGAGACTTTCGGAAAGCGTAAAAATACTCGAGCCGCAGGCGAATGTATTTTTACGCTTTCCGAAAGTCGAGCAACATCCCAAGTTCATGGATCATGCTATCCTGCTTGGAAAACCATTTGGTAATTGTTTTTTAAAATAACTACAGTGAAACAATGACATTTTGAGAATCTCGCGAAAATCCCGCGAAGGCATTTTAATTCCTCGTGCAGGATAGCCTGATCCGGCCTGCACGGCTATTGACCAATCAAATTGCGTGTTTCACTGTAGTTATTATATAACGCGTGTGGCGGCTAGTTTTCTTATCCGTGGATCAATATGCAAGAAGAAAGTTCTGATGATTGTAAAAAGCGAAGTATTCAATTTACATATACTGGATGAAACAACACAAAATGACAGATGTTTCATTTTTCACGAAATTAATTAAAGATCATGAAACCTGTATCATAAAAACATAAATTTTATATTTCTTAACTCCATTTGAATTAAATTAAATTGGTCAATAGCCGTGCAGGATCAGGCTATCCTGCACGAGGAATTAAAATGCCTTCGCGGGATTTTTGCGAGACTCTCAAAATGTCATTGTTTCACTGTAGTTATTTTATAAAAAAATTACCAAATGGTTTTCCAAGCAGGATAGCACGACCCATGCACTTGGGATGTTGCTCGACTTTCGGAAAGCGTAAAAATACATTCGCCTGCGGCTCGAGTATAATTAGTTATTGGTTTAATTATTCATATTACCTAATTTTCAATAACTTAGGCTATACATTTGCCTTTTTTATTGGTATAAGGAAGCATATCCTGTATCAATGTATGGCGTTGCTCTTCAAAAGTGAACACTGAGATCGTACAGACTACTATAGGGGAATGCTATATGGGGGGGGGGGGTGAACCTCTCACACTCACCGATAAACCCGAATTAAGAGGGGCTTCAGTGGCGCAGTTGTCAGAGCAAACGCCTTTCACCAATGAGGAAGTGGGTTTGACTCTCGCTACGAACTCATGTGAAAAGGGTCTGCCAACGCTCTTCTGAAATCGTGGGTTTTCTCCGGGCACTCCGGTTTCCTCCCTAAGTAAGCTGAATAATAGAAATGTAATATCATATACTAGTGTGTGTATATCATTCAGGTTTATATATATATATATATATATATATATATATATATATATATATATATATATATATATATATATTATCATGTTTTAAAGTGCTAACTTGAGTTGCCCTGTATTATCGATCTATATATATTATCTATAGGTAGCAATGTTCCATAGCAATGTTCGCTGAGCGTACTTATTTTTTATGAAGCTGTAATAACGAATTTATTATAATTTATTATACTTAATAATAGATTTCAATTTCTCTCCAGAAGACAAACACTTAAACCTGGTTCACACTAGCAATCTTGTCGGCAATGTTTCTCCTCTTGGCAAATGTGATAAAATGAATGACGTCCAAAAGACTTAAAATTGTTTACTTCTGAAAAGCGACTTTTTCTTTTGTGTGCGAGTTCACTCATTTGCATAGGTCAGAAACACAAAATCGCCGACAATATTGCTATAGTGTGGACCAGAGTTCATGCACGGATTATTCTCGCACATTTTGAAGCAGCAATCATTATCTAGTGACGCATTATTTATCTTTAAACAGATAAAGTATACGAAATGAATTTTAACCGCAGAAACAAATTTAAAATTGACTTTAATTTCAAAATTGGGCGTCCGAAAATTAGTAACGTCAAGGAATTATATATATTAATAAGTTCACTTATCATAAATTCATATCGGTTAATTTGATTTTTTCTCCGCGCGATATTATACACCAATATGCCGATATCTTGCAATTTATATTACTTTATATAAACCATTCGAAAAATTCTCGTTTGAAAAATTACACAATATTTTTTTATTGAATTTGACCGGTCCAATCTGCATTGTGGTAATTATAAAACTATTGTGTATAATTTTTCAAACGAGAATTTTTCGAATTTAGCACTATTTACTGTGCTGTTCAATACATTGCATGATCCTGCTTTGACGGACAAAATTTCGAACGAGCGGAATGATATTTGGTAGGAAAGTAAATCACTAGCTAGGATTAAATTGAAAATCCAATTAAAGAACTAGATCTTGATTTAACGAGATTATTATGGCTGCTTAAAGTTGAATGCATCAATCTTTTTTTTTGGATGACTGCATGAGCCTTTTTTAAGAATTCGTCAGTGAGGGGGGGGGGGCATCTACATACATACATAATCAGGATTTAGTAACAAATGGCTCTCCCGAAATAAATTGCAACTTCACACAAAAAAGACTTAAGCAATGTTTATAGGATCACCCTATAACTTAAAAAACAAAGTTGGTAATGAACAGGTTATGATAAATGATAAACCGGTTACTCGATATTCCTCTTTTCCATGTTAGGGAGTAGAAATAGATGAAAGAATGAGCTGGGAAAACCATATAGACACAATATGTAGGAAAGTTGGCTCCGGTATTGGAATCATCAAAAGAGTAAAGCCGTTTGTACCGTCCGAAACACTACAAAATTTATATAATTCTCTCGTTCTCTCATATTTTGACTATTATTCATCTTTATGGGATAATTGTGGAAGCATGCTCAAAGAGAAATTACAAAAACTACAAAATAGGGCGGCAAGAATTATGACAGGTGCCAATTATGATGTCAGGTCGACAGATTTGCTCCATGCTATGTCATGGAAAAATCTGAACGACAGACATAAAATGAATAAATCGGTCCTGATGTTTAAAATATTAAATAACCACTCAGCTCCGAACTTAAAGGATAAATTTATAACAAGGGACATAAATGTTAGTACTAATTATAATCTCAGAAATGCTGATATGAATCTTTTAGTTCCTAATCCACGTACTGAATATTTAGAAAAGAGTTTTTGATATTGCGGGGCTGTTCTATGGAATAGTTTACCTACGCAGGCAAAGCAAACAGAATCCTTAAGTATCTTCAAAAATTTGATAAAATAATGTGTGCAACAGAGTCAGACATTGAATAATCTTGTTGTTTTTTAACTTTTTATCTACGTATTTGTTATTCTGTGTTATTCTATTTCATATTTAATTTATATTAGTTTTTAGAATGTAATTTGTGTGACGCCCCTCATGAAATCATCCATGGGTGATGAGGGAAGTGTGGTTAAATAAAGTTCTACTACTACTACTACTACTACTACTACTGTACTAGGTGTGGAGAAATGATTGATGGTTGTTAAGGTCCATACAGACCGAACGCGATTGGACAACGCGACGCGAATTTTCAGATAAGTACTATGGACTGAATACCATAGACTGAATCTTCAGATAAGTACTATGGTATGTTTATGTAAATACAATATCTCGACTTCAACAACTCAAATCTATAAACAGCAATAAGCTATCCACTGGTAATTTTTTAAAAGCTAAAGTATTTACAACACAGTGTTTAGTATGTTTAAAAAGCCATTGGATCATTTGCATGAAGATGAAAGACACGAAATAAGATTCACAAAACAAGGTTCAGTTACTAAAATATAAATAAAACCTCGCCTCTAAATTCCATTTTCTTCCAATGTTTTATATTTTCGGGAGAAGAAAGGGACCTTAATTTGGGCGAAGGAGGGAATGATTAACTCTGGGGGCATCACGGGGCGTGGCTTTCGTCCGGTTGCATGAGTTGATTGGCATTTGACCGCATTGCCGTCTATACAGGATGTATAAAAAAACTGACCAGATTTGAAATTGCTCTCAATTTCGCAAAACAGCTATTAGTATCCAGTTTTTTATATATATAGCTTCTTTGGGTTCTTTTAATGTAAAATAATGAAAAAAAATTCTCGAGCTCAAATTTTGTAAACCAGGGGATTTGGGCACAAAATTAAAAAGTTTCAATCGTATTTTGAATTAATGGGTGAAAATGTGTTGCATGTTCAATTGCTGCACGAAATTTCAGACAATTTGCTTCACTTTAAAGGCGGATTTCCAGTCCTCGCACGAAGCTCCTCGCAGCTCGCTGCGAGTGCATGCATGAGCACTTTCATCCAATCACAATGTTAAACAGTTAATTTTAATTAGATGCAAGCACTCCCAGCGAGCTGCGAGGAGCTTCGTGCGAGGACTGGAAAACCACCTTAAGCCCTTTAACTATTCACGCAAACTTAAACTAAAAAAGCAGTAAATTATGCTTAATTAATGCATTTGGCTAATTTGCATATTGCAGCAATATGTCAATTAGGTAAAGCTAAGGCATTAATTATACGTGAAAAAGGCTGATTTTCTAGGAAGAAATGAATGGTTAAAGGGGCTTAAACTAAAGCAAACTGTTTGAAATTTTGTACTGTAATTAAAAGCCAACAAATGTTCCATCCTTAACTCAAAATACGATTAGAGCTTTTATATTTTGCGCGTAAGCCATTTTTAGTTTGTTGGAACCCCCCCCCCTGGTTTACCAAATTTGAGTTCAACTATTTTTTCCTCATTATTCTACATTATGGGTACTCAAGAAATTTAATATATATAACAAAAACTTGATACCACGAGTTGTTTTCCGAAATTGAGAGCAATTTCAAATCTATATTCAGTTTTCTTATACACCCTGTATAGCTAATGCATGCTCACATATATAAATAAAGGCCGTTTTTCACTAAGAGAATTTGTTCGCTTGAAGCAATCTCTCTCCCTTATCGCGTGAGCAAAACAAATTCGCCTAGTGAAAAACAAGCTTCACCGATATAGAATGGGACTCCTATACTTCTTCTCAGTAAATATTTTGTCTCCACAAATTGGACAATTTAATTATCAGGCTATTTTTACTCGTCTGAAACAAAGTGTAAAAAATTATTTAAAATCGAGAACAAAATTGAAAAAAATATTGTAAAAAAGTTTGCGAGAAACCCTATGTAGTCTAGTAAAGTTTACGAAAAATGGCTTTGAAATCGTGATCAAAATACTGTTCCAAGATTATTACGAAAGACAAAACAGATCAAAACAAAACTCAAGCCACACGTACGTACTGCAAAAACTCTGACTATTTTGATACTAATATTTTGATATAGATATAGTATTTTGAGTATACTGGAAAACTTGAGTAATCGACCAAGTTGACGCAAGTTGAGAAGCTAAAAATAAATTATTTGTAAACTTTTTAAAAAACACAGGTGACTCACTGGCACTTGAAGATATTATATCCAGCCATATTGTCCATTCTGACATTGAATGTTCCTTGAAATGTCTTGAAGAACAATCATGTGTTGGCTACAACTACAGAGCGACACCAAAGAAAATAAATTGTCAAATCAGCCGCAATACAACTCTAGAAGGAGATACGGAAAGTCTTGTAAATGGAGAGTGGATGTTTTCCCAAGACTTGGAAACTTTGCCGGTTAGTAGATTGCTTCACATAAAACAGTAGTAATTTTTTGTATGCTTATTGGTGTTATGTAATAAGGTGAATATGATGTTTTCGATTTTACTTTCATTGTGCATCCACACCGGGTAAGCTGAAACGTTTGCCTGACCAACTGTGCTACGAGGTCAAGTAGGTTCGAGTTGGTGATAGTTCCTTCAATATTAATGTATTCCAAGATGGTAGAACATTGGACTAGTGTCCCAAAGGTCGCGGGTTTTATTCCAACCGTGATTAGGCAAACTTTTCAGCTTGCCCTGTGTGGATGCAGTGATGCACACTCAGAATAACACCACAAACATCATACTTACAGTGGCGCCAAGCTGGCAAAGGCAACTGGTCATACTATGCTAATAAACCAGCACTTAAATAGGTTAAAGACAATACAATTATAAAGGTTTGAATAATGCAAGTCATAATACACAAGTTTTTATGCCAACGTTTTCATTGCTAAGTTTGCGGGAAATTATTCTTTTATTATTATTACTATTTTCTGAAATTTAAAATCCTGTCTGAATTTTGTCTAGTGGTCCCAACCCTATTTAACTAGAAAATAGATGCATGCAGAAACTCTTCGCATTGCTGACAAAACCACTGTATTTTGAAGTATTGAAAGTAGTTGTCATGGTAACACGATAATTTTGTTAAGAATATTTTTACAAGATATTTGCTGTGTTGGTGTAGTGTACTCAAATGAATAAGATGCTTGTGAAGTTACTCTGAGTGTGAATCCACACCGGACAGGCTTGAAAAATATGCCTGGCCACAGTTGGAATCGAACCTACGGCCTTTGGAATACTAGCCCAATGCTCTGCCAACTGAGCTACGCGGTCAGATCGGTTCGAGTATACGATATTTCGGAACTGAGTCTTGTTCCTTCGATATCAGTGTAATCTAATAATCATAATAATTATTTGCCGTGTTGGTGTAGTGTACTCAGGTGAATAAGATGCTTGTGATGTTACTCTGAGTGTGAATCCACACTGGGCAGACTTGAAAAATATGCCTGGCCACGGTGGGAATCGAACCTACGACCTTTGGAATACTAGCCCAATGCTCTGCCAACTGAGCTACGCGGTCAGGTGCAAAACCCCCAAACATATATATGTTAGGTATGTTATTACACGTAACACAAGCTTCAATTTATTAAAATATATAAACTGCCGTTACCGATAAACTTTGAGCTAATTTGAAATAAAATTATTTCAAATTCTCGCAATCAAACAACTTTGCTTTCTTTTTTATTTAAAAATTTTAATATATTATAAAAGGGTAATCAATAAAGAAACACTGAAAATATATGCTGTCTTTTTCATTTAAAATAATACGTAACGATCAGCTTTTAAAGCTATTATAAAGCGAACAATACATTAATATTTAAAACAAACCTACCTTCGTTAACGTCGGCGACTTTACTCCCTTCTTTTATAGCAATTCTTTCCTCTTTATTTTCTTAGAAAGCTTTTGAAGTTCACAAAATCTTGCAAAAACGAAATATATTTGCAAGAAATCATCAAATCAAGAAATGTTTGCTATTTCGCTGTCGTCACGCTGTCGTTATAATGCAAATTTTAAATTTGACCAATCAGTGTTCGCTATTCATGACAGTCCGCCATATTTTTGAGATCAGTGAGGATGACCACCCACCAAACACTCGAACACCGTTGGTGACCCACGCCCGCGATCATTGACTTCGCTAATGCTTTCGTTTCCCCGGGTGTAAATAGCCGGGGGGAATTAGGACCCTCGCCCCGGGCTTACGCCCGAAACGGCGCTGCGCGCTGTTGGCTCAGGGATTAGAACATGCAAAAATCTAAAAACACAAAAACATCAAATGTTTAAACCAAGCAATTTGATTCTTTTTTAGACGTACTCTATTGTATCGAACAATGAATGGACTCTTATTGCACGCTTCTCCAACCATGATTCTAAACAATGGATTACAGATGGTTCATTTTGGTATGACAGAGACTCTCCATATGGAGACGCAAACAATCCAGCAAGCAATACCGATATGATATCTGCAGCATTCTGGGAATTGAAAGGAAACGAAATAAAGATTACAAGAAGTGATGATTCCAGTCACACAGCATTACTACGGACTACTTCCAACTGTCTTCAAGGTAGGTTAATTGGTATTTTGATACTTTCGGGCTCCGTTTTTGAGCTGACGCAGTGGATCATTATAGCTGGTATCAAATGAGCTGACACGTTATCATTAGCATGCAAGTGAGAGCCCAGGTAGCGCAGAGCGGCACAGTCAGTACATATGCATGACGTCACATACGGGATGAAAATATACCTTTGCATTGGTGCAAATGTATCTGAAAAAATTATGCAAATTTCATATTCGATCATCTTTGTCATATTTGCACCCTTGCAAATTTATATATTCGCACCATATTTGCAAGGGGTGCGATGGTGCAAATGCCGCGATGACAGGTATATTATTTTGCAGCCACTGGAAATATGATGCGCATTTGTAAGTTGGCATGTAAGTGCCAATTTATCGTGAATTTGATGCAGATTTCAAATTTGCAATTGAATTCGCAGCAGATGCAAATGTACTGTTTTTTTTTAATATTTGCTGCAATGCGAATTTGAAGCATATTCATGGCAAAATTGTTTAATAAAGATCCGTTGATCCATGATTCCACTTGATCCATGATTCCTAATTAGGGTTAGGTCTTTTTCCAAAACTGGCTTACCAGAATTCGGGCCTCCTTTTGCGAAAATTTCCTGCGCAACTTTTACGCGAAGGCAAGATGAAAAAAAGCAATACCCAAATCATCGTCAGTGATCCACGCGATTCAAACTCATAAGACCAAAGTGTAAAAACCATTCAGGTTTTGTTTAATAACGTAACAATTACTATATTTATAAAATACATGACAAAATTACTGCAATCTGATTGGTTAAGAGGAGTGCAATTATTTCATTAATTATTTATCTTCTGTAAACAGTGGCAAATACTGCAATTTCATTGGTTTACAGGAGTGCGATTTGAGCATTAATCGCACCTTTTCTGAGCTGTAATCGCACTCTTGTCTACAGCCAATGAAAATTAGTCTAGTATTTACAACTAGCCAATGAGCATTCACGATACAAACTTTGAATTTTATTTTCTTTATTGCTGTAAAAAATTTCAAAATGGAGGAATTCACAAATTTTGACCTTAAATCAGCCCTCGAAAACCGTCAAACCTTACACCAAAGTGTATCGAATTCTATAATCGCTGACTTTTTAACAGTTATCAGCACCATAAAAGATTCTTACTTTGGCTGAATTAACGTACCGACCTGGGAGGTTGATAGGTCGGCATTTAGGTCGGCATTGCCGAATGCCGACCTCGTTTTCGAGGGCTGTTAAATTACATATTTTCTGCCGAAAATGACCTACCTGTTCTTCCAGCAGAAGACACCGAACTAGACACAACCAGCGGTTATATTTGAATCAGTATTCAGATTAAACTGAACTAAAGAACTTCACTATTTTGAACACGTTATAAACTTGCAAACATGGCTTCCCAATTGTGTGTTGAATAATTCAAACATTGTTGTCATGTGATTATACCGGAAATAATACCCGGAAGTTAATAATATGTTAATTTGATTATGATAAATTTAATTCAAAATTGTACTATTTCACTAAGAATTGTCGTGACAAAAATTTAATAATTATATTGAATTTCAACAAATCGTATTTTTGTGCTTTCCCCCCTTAATTAAACAGTTTGATTACAGAAGATAAATAATTAATAAGTAATAGAACGAATTAAATCGTACTATTAATGCCATAATCATACTCGTGATTAACAAATCAACCTCCCGCTACGCGGTCGGTTGATTTTGTAATCACTCGTATGATTATATGGCATTAATAGCACTCCTATTCATTCTATTACCATCATTAATTGCACTCTCCAGGAGCGGGAAATCAAGACAACAAAAATCCAATATGGCGGAGAAATTTGTCTTACAAAGTGGACGAATTTAACTAAATTTTGGCACCAGAGTGAGTTTAAAAAACATAGTATGGCAAAAAGAGCGTGTGGAAAATACCTGGAAGTAGTTTTAAGAAATAATCTCGGCGGGATGCAGCGAAACGTGACTATGTAAGTCTGTAATTATTATTATTATTATTATTCAATGAAGTATTCCCGGAGAGGGCTTTCCAATACATATTTACAGAACGAATAGTTAATATATTAAAATTAAAATTTCTATTTATAGCGTTTATTTAAAATCTATTTGTCTATGAGATCAGAAGTATATTTACATATTTATCATTTATTTAAAATCTATTAAATCTATAATATCAGAAAATGTAATTAATTGTTGTTTAGTATCTTCTGCTTTAACTCTGTTTTGAATCTTTTCCAAGGTAACTTTTTAAGGTCTTCATACAAGTCATTCCATAAATTCACCGCTCTGTAATAAAAGGTTCTTTGTCCTGAAACTGTTTTGTACATGTGTTGAGGGATGTGTAGCGCTTTATTATTCCTTGTATTTATATCGTGAATTTCATTTCTTTTTATAAATAATTTGGATAGATAAGGTGGTGCTAATCCGTTCATACATTTGTATGTTATTAGTGTCTCTGTCTCTATATTTTAAGTGTTCCTCTACAGGAAGCCAGCGAATTGCCCGTAGTGCTGGTGTTACATGATCATATCTTCCCGTATTTGTCAATATTTTACAAGCAAAATTCTGTACTGCTCTCAATTTCTTTATATTTGTTGCAGAAGTGTTTGACCATACTGTAGAGCAATAATAAAGTTTGCTCATTAATAATAAATTTATAAAGATTTTCCTACTCTAAAATATGTTGTTTGAGTTTGAATCATGTGTTCTAGTTTAAGTTAATATGTGCCTTTATGAGTTTATGACCATTTTCCAAGTTTGGTTATAATAATAATAATAATCATAATAATAATAATAATAATAATAATCATAATAATAATAATAATAATAATAATAATAATAATAATAATAATAATAATAATAATAATAATAATAATAATCTGTTTAATTAATCACATTGCAGTAGAGACTGAATTACATGATTATAAGTAAATACATTAAAAATTAAATTTACAAATAAAATTGAGTTCAAACCGTTCAATGTTCGTTCTGAATAGTCAGTTTAAATCTGTCCACATATTATAATTGGGTACGTGAATATACACGAGTACTACTAAATCAATAATACATTAATAATTATATTTAACAGTTATAAAATTTTGAGACCGTTCTGTGTTCGTTTGGAGTGACCAGCTTGATTCGGACCTAAGATTATAATTATGAGTAGCTGGATGTATACGAGTTGCAACACATCCTTAAGAGGATTTATAGGACCATTGTCGAGCTTCAATTTCCGGATAAATTGTTCGCAGGAATTATGTCTACGTGCGTACTTAACTTTTTTAGACCGGTATAATTCAATGCGTCTTGATACGACATTTCGGGAAGCAAGATACGTAATGCTCTTCTCTGTATCGATTCGATAAGGACAGCTGGCCTTGGGTCAACGTTGACCACGCTGGTGAAGCGTACTCAATTCGGGACCGAATGAAGGAGGAATATATAGTGACAAGGTCTTTATCGCTTAACCCAGCCTCTTTTAACTTCCGCAATGCATAGAGTCTGGAATTTGCTTTTTTAATCACATAGTCGACATGATCACACCAAGATAGATCCTCTCTCGGCAGCACACCGAGCAGTTTAAAGGAGGATACTGAATTGCTTACAAAACAGTTGAAAACTCTTGGCAAAATGCAGCTGAATTTTAAAGAAAGCGATTTTGTCATCCATATATAATAAATAAATAATCACACGGGCAAGTCGTGCAATTAACGATTAATTTTGAAAAGTGTGCCAAATTGCACTCGCCTCGGCGGCTCGTTTCATACTTAAAATAACTTTGCCGATTGTCAGCGCTGGTGTAGAAAGAGCATCTTAAAATTAGTAAAATTGCAAAGTTTGGTTGCGAAAGGTTCTAAAATGAGGAAAATATAGCCTTGCAAAGCCGGTTTGCAAATTTTCCTCTATATAGGCTTGAAATGCCTATACCATATTTAGGCCTTATACAAAAGTATACAAAATTTGCGAACTTTGCAAGGTAAATTTTTTGCATCATTTACACTAATTTTGCAACCAAATTTTGCAATTTTAATAATTTAAGTATGTTCTTTCTGGGAATATACCTTTTTTGCCCAGATCGAAAATTACGGTCTATATTGCAAATTGTCATTTGACTGATTCAATTGGCATTTAGCTGAACATGGACAAAAGATGCACCAAATCTACGACGCGGACATGACGAAAAACTATTATTAGTACTGCCGCTATTCTAGCTCCCGGTTTTACTTCACGCGGCCTGGTAAAATTATGCATTGTTGTTGGTAAAGAATGTCAGAGACACGAGAAAACAAAATAAAACACTGATTTCCGTTTATTAGAGACTGTTACTTTGTCGCGTCCGCGTCGTACATTTGGTGTATCTTAAGTTCGTTAATAATAATAATAATAATAATATAGATCTAATATAGATCAAGCGAGACGCAAGTCGTCGCAAGCTAAAACTCTTGAAGCATGGAAAGAAGCATAAGATATTTCAACAAAGCGTCACGCGGAATGTGAAACACGTGCACATGCAAAATGTGCATACTTTGTGTCAGAATATACTGATCAAACTAGATTACCTCTTTTCTGCGCTTCAAAATTTAAAGTTAGAGCTTGCGATCGATAATTTGCGTTGGCTTGATCCACCCTAGCACCAGGATGAAGAGTAGAACGAGCTTAATAGTTTCGTTCTTGGTCTTCAATTCATCGATCATGAATTATGAGGCGGGCGGTATTTTAAAATATGTAGTATAATAAAGGAGAACCAAATGAAACAAAGGTCAAAGGAACAAAAACAACAATGCCAATAACGTTTCTTTCGGTTGCTTAGCCTTGAGAGCCATCAATGGTCTCCATCCAATCTGGGATGTTTTCTGGAGCCTCGACTGTGATTGTTTGTCCAAAAATCCGCTCCTTCATCATTGACCTGGACTTTTCAGTCAGCTTTCTGAGGTGCTTTCTGTCCAGAGAATCCAACGTTTTTGTAAATCTGTCACTCCTCCAGGGTAGTCTTTACACTTTTATTATTTTCCTTGCCACTTGGCCGGATTCTTCGGAATCTTAAGAAAACGAGTCGTCTTGGGTGGCCGGCTGTTCGTCTTCACTATGTTCTGGCGATATTGAAGCCAACGTCATGCCACAACGAATTTCTTCCTTCTCGATTTCTGGCTATGATATGTTGATTTGTTTAGGGTGCATGTCTAAGCGACGTCTAAGTTTCTGTATATATAACAAAGGAAAACAAAGGGGAAATTATGATGAATGCCGAATATCCTACAAACTGTATCTGCCTTTATGTCCTCACACGTGTTATCGTTAATGTGCATTTCGAATCGAAGTACATGTATGTATTGTAGCCTGAAATAAGGTAGGTAATTTTCGAATTAAGCCCCTCGAGACGGAGTTAAGCCCTTTCGAGTAAAGCCTCGACCACGCCCAAACCACACCTAGTTTTGTCAAGGGCTTAACTCGAAGTAAGAAACACAATTTAGAAAGTTCGATCTAAGCCCCGCGAAAAAGAGGGGCTTAACTGGAAGTCATCGAAAATATTCGACCCTCGAGTTAAGCCCCAACATTTGAGGCGTGCATGCAAGAGAGCAATGATTTGAGTAACCCATAATCTAGCTGGAAATAGCTATCATACGTGCGTCTCGGCTTAAATGAGCTGCTGCCAAAATGAATCACGAACAACTCGTATAAGCAGTCAATTTTCATTAAGTAATACCTCTGAGCTTATTATAAATAAATTCACCTTTTACGCGAAATAAAACCGCGAGGTCAATTTATTCGTAATACCACGCCCGCGATCCATTGATGAACTTTAGACTTCGCTAATGCTTTCGTTTCCCGGGTGTAAATAGCCGGGCGGAATTAATACCCTCGCCCCGGGCTTGCGCCTGGAACAGCGCTCCGAGCCGTTGGCTCGGGGATTATACCTAAGGTTGGCAACTATATCTCAACTGACGAATATACGACTTCGGCAAAACGCAAAATACTTTGCACACGTAAATAAAACATGATAAAAAATTATAGCACATTAAACTCTGATAATTTTTCTATATACCCGCACGTAAATTTTGTTTTCAAGACTGCAAGAAAGCTGAAAAATTTGCACAAACATTTCATGGTCTGACGAAAATTTTGTTGTCTCCATGCGAGATGCTAGAGCTAGGTATTTCATTCGTCATATTTTCAAAAAATTATGTGATTCAATTGGTTGAAAAAGTAAACAGTTTGTGACGTATTTATAGTAAAAATTTAGTTTCAGGGGGGTTGAACTACATCAGGAAGACTGCTAAGATACAAAAGCGATTTTTTTTTCGTAAAACTAGTAAAATATTTTTTGAAATGCATATGACTGTATATATTACTGTCTTACTGATATTAAATGAAACAGGGAAAAATGCAAATTTGTTTTGATATAAAAACAGTTTTATAGTGAAATATACAGTATTCACTTATGTATATATATATATATATATATATATATATATATATATATATATATATATATATATATATATATATATATATATATATATATATATATATATATATATATATATATATATATATATATATATATATATATATATATATATAATTAATTAAAGTTCTCCGGATTGAAATATACTTTTATTTTTTTTTATCCGGAGAACTTTAATTAATTATAATATGCCTGGATTACAAATCTTTAAACATATATCACTAAATCTATCACTAAGCCAACTTTCTCTAGAGCCCAACATTTATATAAATCAATCAATGATGCATCAGAGCTCATATAACAACTTTTTATTACGTTTCGGGGCAAGCCCCTTCTTCAGATTACATGTGTACACTTGATTTCAACTATTTAAACTGTCCATACCCTAATTATAATAATTCGCTTGATTAACTCTATTGTTCAAACAAAGTCTTTTAAATTCAACCCATGCGATTCAAACTAATTCAGTTTATATGCCCAAAAACCTTCTCTTTGTGTGGGACATGCAACATTAGTTTTATCAATAATTTTAACTTTCACATCTTGCATACCATTATGACCTTGACCATTATGACCTTGACAGTTTAAATAGTTGAAATCAAGTGTACACATGTAATCTGAAGAAGGGGCTTGCCCCGAAACGTAATAAAAAGTTGTTATACGAGCTCTGATGTATCATTGATTGATTTATATATATATATAGGTTATCATATAAGGGATGAGGTGATATCAGTTTTATCGCTCGAGGGATGATATCACAATTGTCACGAGCGAGCGCAGCGAGCGAGGGACAATTGTGATATCGTCCCGAGAGCGATAAAACTGATATCACCGAATCCTGAGTACGATAACCTATTTATTATATACTTGTACCTTTATCAGGGTTTGACACCCAAAAGTAAACAGTTTTGATTTTTGAAAAAATAGGATCATTTTAGAATTCAAAACAATTCATCATTTACTGAACAAATATGATTTTAGAAAATAAATAGACCATTCATATAGATAATATACAATTGAAGTCTTTCATTTTGTATTATCGTATATATATATATATATATATATATATATATATATATATATATATATATATATATATATATATATATATATATATATATATATATATATATATATATATATATTGATGACTAAAAAGTATAGTCGAAGCTACATATATAGAATATATTAAAAATGTTCCTTTTCGGCGTTTTTAAAATGTTCATGTTCTGTATTTTGTAAAAATACTCAGACTGAGTGGTTCCGGTAGTTACATGTCGGCTACTGTCTTTGTGACGTATGTAATTTCAGAAGTTGCGTAATAATACTGCCGGATATTTCACAATATTTATTATATGCTGTATAAATCAAAGGCTGGCAAAGTTTCTTGATCCCGTAAGTTTTAATCATAGTAATATACAATATAAAATCCATAGATATAGTGAAGTCAGGTAAGGTCTTGCAATATTATTAATTGTACCATATCTGATATGTAATTCGGCTAGACTCAAGGTACAGCTCATATTACATCTGTGTTGGTATTAGCGGCTAAAATTATTTCCTTCTTGTGGCTGCCTCGTACTCAGGCGCTATATATTTTTTTATATCTGATTTGTGGCTATATAACAGGGATATACATGAAGTATTGGAACAGGCGGGCTACGCCAGTGAACTCTGTTTAGACTGGGACGATAACTTGGCCGTCTTTGAAGCCAATATGAAGCCGAATTGACGTACAGTGCCAGTCCCTTTATATTGCTTTTGTAGGCGCAGTTGACAAATTCGGTTTCAAATTGGCTTCAAATATGGCGGCATAACTACAGTCAGTTATCGTTCCAGTGTAAATCAGTGCACACTTCCCACGACATTACAGTACTTCATGTAAAAACCCAACCAACATCCAACATACGTACTCTTTGCTTCTATGGTCACATGGCCAGAAATCGAGGTCAGCCAGCGGGTTGACCTGTGGGCTCAAAATCTCAAAAATTCAAAATGGCGGTTCGATTCTATAAGGGGAGCTATTGCAGAATATACCCGTCCACTTCTAAATACTTCACTTGTTATCATAACACGCGCGCAATAAGCGAAATATAGCTTACCCACGCTTTATAATAGCGTGAGTATACAATTATTACGTAATCATTTTCACTTCGTATCATCTTATCATGATCATGATAATTACAAGTGAGGTCTTCAAAAGTAGACGGGTATTCTGCAATCATTCCTATGCAAAACACTATATTTAGCTATAATCAAACAAAACTAAACGTAAATACTAATACTGGCAACATTAATCCACTTTATTATTGAAATCTCAGAACGAATCTTCGCCAACACAAACCAAATATATTAAATTTGCCGCGCTTGTTTTTATGAATATACGAGCAAATTTAAAAATAATACAGCGGTATAGGCCCTGGTAACCTAGTAACAACTCAAAACAACTCAGGAATGTAAAATGGCAGCAAGAAGCGAAGTGGCGAGCATATTTTGCTTGTTTATGCTAGTTTAGCGACTATTTCCCAGCGCTTGGTGGACTAAATTTTGACGAATCTGCGGCATGAAAATGCTATGTTTCAAGGCGTTCGGGAACAGGTTTAAGCAAGCCGTTGAACCTTTAAATGCAGCTAAAAGGAAAGTATTGTCCACCTCGAATATGCGTAGACGTGGGACCGTGCGAAAAGTCGACCATATGTGGCCAAATTTACGTAATGGAAAACCTCACTTCGGCAAATTATGTCGATTTAATAGGCGTTTATATACAAAGCGAGAAGTAGAAATATAAATCTCTCGGGAACATATCTACGCTACTCGGACTGTCGCCAGATTTTCAGGAGTTGATACTGGCCTTATTTGATAATTTTTTAGACGTGGGACCGTGTAATTTCTTTACGGGATCGAACACAAAATGTGTATGTTGAATTTTCTCTTATCAAATCTATAGTATGCCGCCATTTTGAATTTATTTAGTGTAAGCTTAACGCGCATGCTTGTCAGCCATGTTGTCCTTCATTTCTGGCCATGCGGTTCTACCAAATCACTACATACATCCGGTTACCATGAGATGCGCACGCATCGCCGTAGATCAGTGCATTGTTATACGCCGTTCGAGAAGGAGTTCGAGAAGACATTTTCGATAATATTTAAGGTTTTACTTGATCTTATAAGGTAAGTTCATTGATTTTTACTGCTGTTGGTTCTTGTTGAAACGGAGGTAGACGTGATTTACCACATTTTATGAAGTTTAAGTACTTCAAATTGGATAAATTCATTGGCTTGTGACGTGTCACACTGCCTCCTGGTCTGCACAGAACGTGTTTTGTGCTTATAAATTCGCTGGTGTACGATTACAGGACGTGTCCTGTATTACTTGAGCATAAGACGTATCTTTGCTCTTTATATTTATTATATAATAATCGTTCCTCACCCTATTGATTAGGTGATGGTAAATAGTAAAAATACAAGTGTGCCAGCCAGCGAATCCGAGGCGATTATCCCTTCGACTTCGGCCTCCCAGTTGAAATCTATGTTTAAAGAGTTACTTGATGAAACTAAGAAGGATATTTTATCACAAGTTAAAGATAATATTGATCAGATTTATACAGATTTTGAGTCTGTTGCCATTGAGAATGAGGAAGTTGCCTCCACTGGTGAGGCATCAGAGCCTGGCATTACAGATAAAATTGAAAATTTTGTTCAGCGGAACCTTCCTGACCAGGAAGATCCACCTGATACTGGCTCATTCCATAATTTGGCAGTGGAGTTTTCTATGGTAGCAAAACCTTCACCAGCTCTTATTCCTGGGTTGCCTGAAATTGTTAATAGCCTGCTACGAGATCGACTGACCAAAGAAAAATTGTCTGAGGTCCAATCACAGTATATCAGACCAGAGAATTGTCCTAATTTAGTTGCACCTAAAGTTAACAAACAAATTTGGCAGCAAATGAGGCAGGAAATTAGAAATACTGATTCTGATCTTCAAAAGACACAGTGTCTATTGATTTCAGGCCTTTGTGCTGTCTTAGAGGTGTGTAATGTTTCTGATGGGGATCAAAAATCTAAGCTTGCCCATGCAGCTGTTTTATTGCTGACAGCAAATCGAGAGTTCAACATGAAACGCAGGGACTTCATTCGTCCTGATCTTAACAAGCAGTATGGTGCGTTGTGCAATCCATCAACGGCCATTTCAACTTATATCTTTGGTGATGAGTTGAATAAAGAAGTGAAGAAGCTTACTAAGTCTAATAAGCTTAGCAACAAAGTTATCACCAAGCCTCGTTCAGATTTCCGTGCAGAACCTTACAGGCTGCCCCTTGGCAGGGGTGCACGCGGTCGAGGTCGTTTTAATCAGACTAGCGGTCGAGGTCGCGGATCAAGGTCGTACTCGTCTTTTTTAGGGGTAGGCCGGGGTCACGGGCGGACCCCGACAAGCAGCAAGACATCAGTCAACAAAGGAACTTAGAATCACCAACCCAGGTAAGTAATGATGCTATTGCTACGTTAATTGCTAATCAACCACCATTTAAGGCAGGTGGTTTGAAAGATTGTGTTCATGCTTGGGCAGAAATTACATCAGATCCATTTATTTTGGATGCTGTGACTCATTGTCATCTTGAATTTGATTCCTTACCTGAGTCAAATGTTAGTAATACTAGACCATATTTTACTTTTAATGAGACTGAGCAAACTGTCATAGATGGGGAAATTGAAAAGTTTCTCCAAAAAGGAATAATTAGGCATTCCGTTCCTGAATCTGGTGAAGTGTTCTCACCTATATTTATTACACCCAAAAAAGATGGAACTAGTAGAGTAATTTTCAATTTAAAGGCATTCAATCAATTTGTCTCATATCACCATTTTAAAATGGATACTTTAGATACTGCCTTCAGACTTATGCGACCTGGTTGCTTCATGACCTCCATTGATCTTAAAGATGCTTATTATTCTATTCCAGTATTCCTATAGCATTGGAGCATCAAAAATACTTAAAATTTATATGGCGGGATAAATTGTATTGTTTCACTTGTTTGCCAATGGGTTTGTCAATTAGTCCTATAGTTTTTACAAAGGTCATGAAGCCAGTTTTTGCCACACATAGATCTCAGTTTGGACACACCTGTTTTGGCTATATTGATGACTCCTTTTATACAGAGGGGTCTCACGCGGAATGTCTCCAGGCTACCCTTAATGCAGTCAAGTTGATTATTAATTTGGGTTTTAAAGTCCATCCTGATAAATCAGTTACTTTACCGTCACAATGTATAGAATTCCTTGGGTTTCTTTTGAATTCTGTAACTATGACAGTTACTCTTATACCAAATAAGAAAGCAAAACTTATCCGATTGTGTCAGAAGTTTTTGCGCCCAAACACATTGTTTACTATTCGCCAGGTGGCGTCTTTGATTGGTTCTCTAGTTTCATCTTTTCCTGGCATTGAGTTTGGCCCTCTTCATTATCGTCATATTGAGGCAGACAAAATTTATTATTTAAGAATGCATCAAGGTAATTTTGATGCAGAAATGTCTTTGTCTACTGACAGTTTAGAGGAGATTCAGTGGTGGGTAAATAACATTCAGTTATCCACTAGAAAAATCTCTCATACCACTCCAGATATCACAATTTACACTGATGCATCTGGAACAGGATGGGGGGCCAAGCTTGAGAATGGCAGCACAACATGTGGCATTTGGTCACATGATGAAACTGAAAAACATATAAATTGTTTGGAATTATTGGCCATTCAATTAGCCCTTTTTTCTTTGTTGCGTGATAGAAGTAGCATACATGTGCGGATTATGTGTGACAACACAACTGCTGTCACATACATTAATGAAATGGGTGGATGTAGATCTGTCGAGTGTAATACTATTGCTCAAACAATTTGGAGTTGGGCCATTGCCAAGGGAATTTGGTTGTCAGCCGCGCATATTGCTGGATCTGCCAATGTTGATGCTGACCAATTTTCCCGAAATTTTCAGTCTGTTAGTCGATGTTCCACGGATTCTCAAAGTAACTCACCAGAACCTGGTTCATCCCACGTTAGACAGTTCTCATCCACTTCAGGATCAACTGAAGTTTATGGTATGCAAGTTATCCGGAGATCCTTGTGCGAGTCAGATATTCCAACAGACATTATCAACACAATCATGCATTCCTGGAGAGACAGGACTCATAAACAGTATGGTAACTATATCAACAAGTGGTTGCAGTTTTGTGTTCAGGGGTCGTATGATCCCTTGCATCCCACTATAAAGTGTGTATTGATGTTTTTGCATTCGTTGTACAAAAAAGGTATGAGTTATGCCTTACTTAATACGGCGCGTTCTGATATCTCAAATATGTGCTTCACCTCTGACATGGATTCACATCATGTGCCAATCGGCAAACATTTTCTAATTTGTCGTTATCTCAAAGGAGTGTTCAATGAAATGAAACCTGTCCAAAAATATCATTCTACGTGGCCAGTTGACATTGTCCTTGATTATTTGTTCACCTTGTGGCCTTTAGAAAAGCTAACTCTGAAGGAACTTACTTTGACATTAGTAACATTGATAGCACTCACAACGGGACAAAGCTGTCAGACTTTGACGTTTTTGGATATTTCTGCTGATTATAGGTCTAAGACGGATGATTCTTATCGATTTGCGCTAACAGAACACGTCAAACAAGACCGACCTGGCAAAGTATATGGAAATCTGTGTTTGTATAAGTATACTGTTATGGAGCTGTGTGTGTATGCAACATTAGAATATTATATGAGTGTCACTGAGAAGTTGCGGACTTCTACAAAACTATTAGTGTCCTTTATTAAGCCTTATAGTGCTGTAACTGCGTCAACGGTTGGACGGTGGATTAAGACATTGCTCGGATAAGCAGGTGTTGACACATCGAAGTTTTCAACACACAGCACAAGGGTTGCATCCACTAGCAAGGCAGCCGTATCTGTACCGGTAGATGTAATCCTGGCCACAGCTGGCTGGAGGGACGCATCGATATTTTGTAAGTTCTATAATAAGCGTGTTTCTGTTACCAACCAAATGAGTTTGGCTGGGTTAAAACGTTGATAAGTTGATATTATATGTTTATCATTGTGTTGCAATGTATATTAATGACAATGGTTTTTCTGATAGGTGTCATTTTGTGTTCACTGCTTTAAAATCTCATGGTAACCCGGATGTATGTAGTGATTTGGTAGAATTAAAAATTATACGAGACTTACCTTAAGTTGAAGTTTGATTACAATTCTACCGAATTACTTACAGTGCAGAAGGGTTAACATGCCCTAAATTCCCATAGACAATTTATCCATCCCTAGTTTTGTCATTGCATGGTCGCATTCAACTGACCACAAAATGTCTTTCAAGGCTGATCTACGGCGATGCGTGCGCATCTCATGTCTCGTTTAATTTATTTTTTTTTACAAGAAAACGATGTTAAATTTAATACTCTGGAGACCTCAGAGACTTGGGTACAAGGCAGTTCTTGTGACAAAAATCACATAAACTTTTGTATATCTCGTGTATTCGTAAGATGTTTCGTGTGTAGTAACTGTTTTTTTATTTACAAATATCAAACCTTATTCCAAAAAGAATGTCTTGATGTGAGAGCCAAAAGTTATCATTGCATGCGTGCCAGCAAATTCGGGAAATGTCTATTGCTATACTTAAACCATCATCAACACGTTTTTCCATCAATCATATGCGCGCGTAAAACGTAAGTTTCAGTATTTTTTATCACTCAGAATGAAGCAATCTGATTGGCTGAGGAGCCTTTCAGAGCGGGCCGGATTTTTGCTTTCGGCCCGCTCTGAAACAAAACTACCCGCTGTAAAATTCAACTGCCCTTCTGGTTTTCGCGCGGAAAACCAAGGAGTGAAACAATTTTTTAACTAAAAATCTGCCCAAAGCATTGGACATATATTCAGAACACGAAAATGAATTCCATCAAGCTCTAAAGACTTCGTACTTCGCACGATGTACACCAGAATTGACAATACTTTGAGAGAAATGTGGCTGAAAGTCGGAAATTTATTTGACATGTATAAAACTTACGCCGAGAAAGCTATATTTTTGTTTTAAATGCTCATGTATTCGGCCACTTAAAAGCGAATAAATTATTATAGCTTAATTAAACAAATATTGTAAAGAAATATTTTCCCCTTACATATGCAATCTTAAAAGACGCCTTAGCTGCAGTGAAAACAATTCATGAGTGCACTGATAGGCCTATAAATTGAAAACTAAGTAAAAGTCTGTGTTTAAAAACACATTTTTCAAGCATATTATCGTGACAGGACCAGAAAAGTACAAAATTTAAAAGTAGCATACCTTCTTCGTTGTCCTTTTAGTAGAAATTGACGTTGATTAAATCAAAACGTCAGATTCATTTAAATGTGTTTTTGATCGACAAAGCAAGTTAATATGAAACCTGTCGTTGTTTGTCAAAGCCAAAACGCCAGGCCGAAACTTTTTATTCCAATGATTTTCTGCTACCATTACCACATTCACATGAAAAAAGCATGTACATTTTTGCTTCAACACTGTAGATTTTTTGTGCGTTTCTTAACAAGATCCCGCTTTGTCGCGAGCTCGATCTCTAATCATAACACATAATAAATCAGAACTTAGAAGGTTCTCTGACCGAATCTCTTTTACAAGTCTTAGCCTTAGGTCTGTACTTGAAGACTATGGATGTGAAGGCAGAACTAGTCAAAGTTCGTGAATAAAACAGTGATAAGATTTTCCAATAAAAATTAAAAATGTGAAAATTTTCCAGGTAACAAAATTTATCTTTCTTTCTTCTCTACATTTCGCGTCCAAAATGTTTTATATCGCAACAGATAATTATTATAGATTATTATTTCTCATTTATTATTTGTAATCAAACAACAAGGATTTAATTTCACATCATAAATTATCATATCAAAACACCCAGAAATTCTGGGTGTCATGTGACCAGTCGATCCCATGAGGGCCATTTTCGCCGACCTTCGGCCAAGAAGGCAAAATACTCCTAGATGAGGTTGCTCTTGAAGCTAAAATAAAAATTCTGGCAAAATTAACATCGATCCTTCGCTATTTTTAGGTATGAAAGCATCTCGTGTTACTCTTATGTTAATCGGCGACAATGGATGCGGCAAAACATGTCTGCTCATGGTTTTCCGAGGTGATGAATGTCCGCCATACTACATCCCAAAAGTTTGCATAGACTGTGTTAAAGAACAAAATATTGATGATGAGAACATCGAAGTTCTTGTATTTGACAGCATGTCCCACGAAGATCATGATAAATTGAGAACGTTATGCTATCCTGCTGTAAACCTAGTCATTATTTCATATTCAATTGATTCCCAAACCACTTTTGAAAATGTTAGGAAAAGATGGCTACCGGAAGTAAATCAATATGCTCCGCAGATTCCCGTGGTACTTGTAGGATGGAAGAACGATCTTAGGGATAACGGGAGTACAGGGAAGGATACAGACGAAGAAACATTGGTGTCCGAAGCTCAAGGACACAAGATGAAAAGTGAAATAGGAGCTGTAGAATTTTTTGAATGTTCTGCTCTCAAAAATGAAGGAGTACACAAATTGTTTGAAACTGTGGCGAGAATTGCTTTAGCCGAAAAGCGCAGACAACGGCCCGGTCGTTGTTTTGTCTTATAAGCTGTTGAAATCGAAAAGTAATTATCATTTGTTTTAATTGTCAAAAGAAATAAAAATGATACATGAATATCCTTTGACATCTTTATGGGCCGATACAGAACTATTTTTACAGGACTAACGCCTGTATTCAGAAAGATCACTCACTCGTACTCACCCTTTTAATTTAAGTTATATTCAAGTGAGTGACATTAAGAAGGGATTGAAATACGATTGTGAACGAAATAAGAGTCTAACGTTCCACTCCCTGCATTTGCATTCATAAAGCTCACTCGAGTGCGACTTGTCTGTGATGTACTTTGTCTTTCTTATTAGTGTTGTTAGTGGATTTACATGTTTTAGAATCATATATAGCATTTACATATCTGTCCACTGTCCAGTAAGTTAAATCCACAATATAGGAGAAGTCCCCATGTTCTTCACGGCAAATTAATACCGTGGACGAAATCTAATGTATCAATTTATTCTTGATTACGCAATTGCCGCAGGTATGCTTTAATAACACGACATTCAGCTATAGTTGTTAAGATTGGCATAAGTTTTCACATCCAAATGGAAATATACCTGTTGAATGCAGAAAAAGTTAAATTTCTGCAACGATGCATCATCCACCTCCATTAATTGCAGATATGCTTTTCCCGACTATGTCCAGTAGATTACGAAAGCCATTCTGCTTTAACATGTTGTCATGTACATCTACAATTCGGAACTACTCCTCGATATAGTTCTGACAATAAGTATAATTTAATGTCCATTCATTCTAGATAAAGGAGCTCCAGTAGGATATGACTGAGCCATTTCATCATATTTCATCCCAATATATGTCAGCTGAAAATCTGAAACACTGCTTGTTACAAGTGTTTCTTGTCCGTCCTCAGGTACTATTTTTGGGCTGCACTTGAGGTCATGGCGGCCATTTTTGAGGATCTTTAACAAAAGAATTTCATTAGCAGCTATTGTATTTGAAGCGCGTTGTCATCCACATGGTCGCCATATCTTTGTCAAATAAATCAGTGGTGGCGCCAAGGAGGGGCTAGGGGGGGGGGGCTACAGCCCCCTTGTCGGGGAGCCCTAGCCCCCCCCACATCGGGGAAAATTAATAGATGCGTCGGGGAAAACTGAGAAAAAAATTTGAAGGAATTCCGAAAAGCACGATCTTGTCGCCAAGCTTATTCTCCCGCATGTTATTACATTAATTATTAATCATTGACATTAATATTCATTCACTTCTGCACTAGCTAGCTAGCAAGGTGCGACTGTAGTTCGTAGTTACGCACATTTCTTAACATAGTACATGCGTTACGCAAGTTCGCTTACGTACCGTGGTCGAAGGATTTTTTATCTGCATATAGATGACAGAATAATGGTGTGGTTGAGTGGGAGAATTGGAGAAAGGCCAGACAAACTCGATTTTGGGTGCGGGAGCTAGGAGGTCTGGGAGTGTTCCCCAAGACAATTTGAATCTAGAGGCTCTTAAAAGATTTCTTTTACCCAACCACTCACAAAAACTGTTTCAAAACATGTAACTGGGAATCATGGATATTCAATATATAAAAACCTTAAATTTGCATTTGAGGCAGCAAAGCTAGAATATTAGGTTCTCCCACTCTAATCTCTTTTGGGGAGCTTCCTTTCGCCCCAATTTTACCTTCTTTTCCATTACCCCAGCACGTAAGTGATTTGTGAGGACAATAGGAGGGTCTGGGCTACTCTCCAAGAAAACGTTTATATTTGTGATGCTCAATTAATGACAGCATTTCTGGAGCATCCACAAGGGTAACGAGTAAATGAGACGACTGTTTTAATTAAGGCTATTTTTGTTAGTTTGGTGACTGCACATTTGTGTTTTAATGTGACTACACATTTTGTGTAGAACTGTACGTTCAAATAAACCCTGGCATATATAAACGTACACTTGCACATTTTATGTAAATAACTTATATAAAGTGAAGATATCTAAGTCTATCTCGCTTGGCGCACTCAAAAGGACATTGACGACTTCTACGTGAAATAAGTATTCTGCGGAATATTTCTACATGAACCGGCAATCATCTTCAATTTGGAAATCGGAAAGCAATACTCGCTCTAAAAACGTATTTGGCCATACGCTCTAAAGTTCGTTGCACAGTTTGTCATGAGGTTTTTCAAAACGACTATGTCGGGAAACATAGAAAATCTAAACACAAAGACTTTCACGCGCCTGGTCGTCAGGCTCCCATATAACCATTGAGTTGGATAAGTCTGATACTCGTCAGAGTAAAGCTGTATCGCCGCCACTACCACAAACGTCTGCAAGTCCCGTAGTATATTGATTCGTACATTTTATAAAGAATGCATCATGCAGGCTCAATTGTATATTTTAAGTGTATAAATTATGTACTGTTTAATAAACGAGCAGGAGTGTTTTATTAGGTTTAAAGCCACGAGCGCGCAGCGCGAGTGACTTTAGACCTAATAAAACACGACCTGTGAGTTTATTGAACGGCTTCAAACACGACTACAAATTCAATAGATATACTGCCTTATTAGTATTCTTTATATAAAGAATACTAATTAGCAGTGTTTTATCAGGTTTAAAGCCACTGCACGTGACATATTATGGTTGACATGATTTGCCAATAAGCTTATGAATTATTAATGAGTGTTTGAAGTTAGTATATACTATACGCTTAACCATGAAAAAATTTGCATAGTCCCCCAGTCGGGGAACATAGCCCCTCCGTCGGGAAATTTCTGGCGCCACCACTGAAATAAATCTCAAGGGATTGATTGCAACCCAGCAATAACTGATCATATCTACACCATACTTGTCCTCCTGTACTGAATCATGCAGTTTTAAAATTTTGTATTGTCGAACTTGGCCTTAGCGACCATTAACCTATTTTTATAATTTGCAAAATTAATCCTCAGCCCGTTTTCCTATTACTATTAAGCTTCCTGTGTTTGAATAATTAGACCACATAGGCTTAGTACAAAAAGATCGTTTTAATAACTACGTTTCGGAGTATAACTCCATCTTCGGGTTAAAAGTAACTAAATATCTAGCTACTATACGCAATCCTAACGGATTTTGTCTAAATTTATAATTGTTTTTAAAGTTTTATATCTTTAGTTACTTTTAACCTGAAAATGGAGTTATACTCCGAAACGTAGTTATTAAAATAATATTTTTGTACTAAGCCTATATGGTCTAATTATTCAAAAACAGAATTACTAAAATGCGGCTTAGAAAAAGTTCCGTCATACAAGATTATTAAGCTTCCGTGAAGCGTGCATTTAGAATTACGTTTCAAAACGTTTCTCCCAGGAAGTTCGTGGACGAAAACGTTTTGGCAAATTTTGAAATGATATTCACGTAATTATCCTTACAATCAGTTATTTATGACAATTCTAATGATCTTCTAGGACTATTTCTTGTTTTCATTCTGTTAGGAAGTTTTTAACCCAGCTAATTATATAGTTGGTTCATGGACTTCCATAGAAGTAGTTTACGAAGTAAAATTTTATGGTCAATATGGTCAAAAGCCTTAGCGAAATCCAATAGGGAAATCCTTATAAAATTTTTTGGCTCATCGGATCTACAGTACTGAGTAAATGGCGAATGAAGCTCAATAGTGCGTGAGTTGTCGACGATCTCTTTAGCGAACGATATTACCGTTTATCAATCTTATCAAAAATCGATTTCATCAGCCAATCAGCAATGAATCATTCACATATTTTAGCTGGGGTAGATGTATAAGAAAAATTGGTCGTAAATCCGTATTCATATAATTTAAATTCTTTACTTCTTGAATCGGAATAATATCCGTTTTTTTCCAGATAGCTAGTTGGACCAATGATTGTTGTATTGATGAATTCAATAATCAATATGGATGCCATTGGTAAGGCAAGTATTAATGAATTATACTTTAGGGCCCAGTTACGCTAGGTATATGATCAGCACCCGACGACTTTGAAATTAAAATTGAAATGGTGCATAATTTGCGAAAACTTCAATTTCGCTAATATTAGTTCGGATGGAATTTCAGAATTATCGATTTTATATTGCATGCCAATAGGTGTGATATAACGGATCTAGGTGTTGCGTAACAGAGACGAAGGTAAGGTTTATTTTCTCAGCAAGATCATTGCCTCTGATCAGTCCTACCCACCGAGACGATAGACTGTGGTAATTGCTTTTTTGGGTAGCTAGCTAATTGTTTTACAGTGTTCCACCATTTCTTATTATTCTAAACCTTGACTGGAGGGGAGGGGCTTTAGCCCCCAACTAATATAGTACATAAAAAAACGCCCTGAAGATTCCAGGTCAAGTCGGTTCGAGTGGGTGATATTTTGAAACTCAGTGTGTTTTTATGACTTTGATTTTTTTGTTTCGGATGTTATGCACTCTGGTGAAGATATGTTGTCTCTGAATGTGTCCACACCGGCACAGAGAAGAGAAATACAGAGTTGTAACTAGTGTACCTACTTTTTCGTGCGCATGCTCGGCAAGTTACTAGAGGCATGCATCTGATTGGTTGATGACCTGATGACGACTCACTTTAAACTTGCAGAGCAGGCGCAGTTGATCATTTTTGCCCGGTAGTCTGAAAGTGGGTACATGAAAACGTAAGCTTCCGCAGTGTTTACAACGGTTAGTTACGGCTCTGTATGTCTCTACTCTGTGACACCGGGCAAGCTGAACAGTATGGTTTGCAGGTCAGGCATTTGCAAAATCATACAATTACAATATATTATCTAAAAGACATTTATATAATTAGGCCATCAGTAACAATATAAAGGGCTCCCGAGCCGATATTTCAATCACGAAAACGAGGCTCTATATCCCAGGTTGAGTACTTTACGGACCAGTGACGTAGTACAAGCATGCGCATGGAATATATATTTTCATTTTTTGTAATGGAAATTATATATCTTCCTATGTTTTAAATAGTCTGTATTTGATTGGGATGAAGTAAAGTTGTTATTTTATCGACTCTAGAATTTACAAATTTCACCAGGCAGCATACCCCTGGACTTAACATTTCGCTGTACTATATTTTGCATATGGATAGCGTGGGACTCCAAATCGTATAATGAACAAACTTTGTTGGACCTGGCGTAGGGTAAAATTGCTTCGGCTCTCCTGTGATGTCCCCCCCCCCCCTTCCCTGGCTATGTCCAGAGGGCAGAGGGCAACGCATTGATTTATACTGGCAGATTTGCCCATTCGCAGGCTGGAAATTGAAATTCGAGTATTTCCGGGACTTCTTTTAGAACGAACGAAGGAGACTACACACAGAAACCAGGCAGAAACGCAATCTTCAAAGGTTTGCGGCAGATTTATAATACAGCAGATTGGAAGAGGTAACATTTTCAATATGATTTGTAAACATGCAACACACACTGTTCTCGGTAAATTATAGTTATTTGTATAGCTGTGTTGCAGTGTTGAGTGTTGGATATATGCCAGAGTGCAGAGCAGCAGAGGTTACAGATTATTTTGGCTTATTTTTCACCCTGCTCGGTTTCCTTGGTTCTTATCGGGGAATGTATTCAATATTCCCCTTTAATCAATTTCCGTTTAATAATCCCCTCTAATATTCACCTGCAATAAATAATCCCCTCTAATATTCACCTGCAATGTCTTTGCAGCACAAAAAATGAGAAAAAAACCCAATATAACGAAGGCAATGGCATTAAGGATTATTTCTATTCTGACTCATTAACGCGACCTCGCAGTGTGAAAAATAAGTACGTTATTTTGAGGCAGCTCGGGGATATGTGTTTATTCACCTCGGCGCTGCGCGCCTCGGTGAATAAATCACATATCCCCTCGTTGCCTCAAAATAACCTATACATATAAGCATATTACCGATATTGGCATCAGATTACTCAAAGTCATGGAAATAATGAAATGAGATTATTTTACCGTTTTAAAAGCACACAGGATTGTCTATTTTGACATTGGTTTTATTCCCCAAAAGTGAAATGTTTTGAAGGGCAAATATTGGTGTACATGGTATCTCCGAGTGTATCTCCGTTGTATATTTACTGAAGTGAAGTTGTCACGACATTGGTCACGACATTCATCACAACATTCGCACCGACATTTCTCAGGAGATTAATTAAAATAGATTTAGTAAACAGATAATGACCACATGTGGTGAGCTCGCTATTTCCCATCATTTAAAAGAAATGAACATAAAAATAGGTATTAGCATATGGAAAATTATTTACATTTTGATCTTTGCAGCAATATTAATTCTATCGAAGATCTTGAACAATTTAGACAGTTTATAGGTAGTAACGTTTTTTTTCAAAAACCCAATGCTATAAGTCAGGCCCCGATTACACTATACCGGATTGCATCGAAGCGACGCGATTTCTGTACCGGATTGGCCTCTTGTTTACACTACGCCACTGTAATCCGGTACGTGCCGCGGCGCGAAAATCACTTCGCTTTGGAGGTGATATGAAAAGTAATCCGGTACGTGCTGTACCGGATAAAACCAAGTGTAATCAGGCAATCCGGTACGCTCCGGTACTATAAATAGGTTTCGGCAAGTATATTTTAACATTGTCGTTTTATTTACTCGCTTTTAAATATTTTATAGCTGTTGTTTGCTTCGCTTTACAATTATTTATTATTTCTAGCGAAGACAAATAAAGATAGCGATAATAACATTGACTTCTTGCTTTCAAAAGGGCAAAATTTAATGAAATACTCGTCAATTTTCGATACGAGCGAGACAAAGCAACGTCGGGTGGTCAAGCTTTGTAAACAAAGTTATAATTCACAAGTACTGTCGAGAAAACGTCCAAAATGGTCAAAACTTATTATTTGTTTCCGTGGCAACGATAAAAGATACTAGCTGGCGACAGAGCGAAGCGGCATAGTGTAAACACCCTTGATTTTGGCTTCGGTGTGAAAATTGATCCGGTATGAAAATCAATCCGGTATAGTGTAATCCCAGCCTCAGTCGCATCTGCATTCGATCATGCCAAATCATCAATTCAAACAACTACATTTGCAAGTGGAATTAATCTAATATACATACACGCAAGTATACTACATATGCAGTTTCTAATAGACAATGGTAACAACATATTAAATCATGTTTGCAATTTTTAAAAGCTTTTAACAACAGCTAGTCATAACTTCTAAGTATAACTTGGCATATTGCCATCACGAAATTCATCACTTCATGCCATTCAGAAGGGTATTGCTTAATTTCTTATATAGAACATTATACACCTTCGAGCAGTATGACATTTGTCATAGAGACCAAATGATTTTTACACCGTTTTTGCCTTTTTGGTATTTGTATGTGCAACACATACAAAGCTGAAAGTCCATGTTTCAACAAATTCAATACGTTTTCCATTTTTGACATACTGTATATGGCGTATAATTTTATGCTGTTTATATCGATAGTAAACATGTCCTGGGGAACAAATTATTTATATGCGTTTTTTCTGCCATTTCTTTGAAAATGTAATACGAAGTTCCGCACTGCACTTTCATGCAAAATGGTTATCTATGTTGAGTTCTCATTTTCTCGTTACCTAATCAATAGGAATTTTTTATTTTAACATGTATATGCTGTACAATTTTATGCTGTTTATAACCATACTATAATTGTCTTGGGGACCAAATGATTTATATGCGTTTTTGAGCTATTTATTTCACAGTGTAATACGATATTCCGCACTTCGCTTTCATGCAAAATAGGTTGTCTATGTTGAGGTCGCATTTCAAGTCTGATTACCTATTTTATAGGAATTTAAATTTTTATTTTAACATATATGGCGCAGAATTTTATGCTGTTTATAACCATACTAAAACTGTTCTGGAGACCAAATGATTTATACGCGTTTTTGTGCTATTTCTTTGATAGTGTAATAAGAGATTCCCGTCTGCGCTTTCATGCAAAATGGTTGTCTATGTTGAGGTCAGATCTCATTTTTTCGTATTCTATAAGAATTTTTTTATTTTAACCTATATGGCGTATAATTGTATGCTCTTTATAACGATGCTATAGTTGTTCTTGGGACCAAATGATTTATACGTGTTTTTGTGCTATTTCTTTGACAGTGTAATACGACTCCGCACTGCGCTTTCATGCAAAATCACTGTCCCCGCTCAGGTCTCGTTTTCTGATTATTTATATTCTATAGGAATTTTTTATTTTAACATATATGGTGTTAGTAGAATTTTATGCTGTTTACAACCATGCTAAACTTCTCCTGGGGACCAAATGATTTATATGCGTGTTTGTGCTATTTCTTTGACAGTGTAATACGAGATTCCGCTCTGCGCTTTCGTGCAAAATGCATGGTTGTCTATGTATGTCATAGGAATTTTTCAAACAGCATACAATTCCACGCCATATATGTTAAAATAAAATTCCTATATAACAATTTGTGTTCAATATATAGACCACAGTAAGACTTGTTTTAAATGTGTGTATTACATTAACAAACGACGTTTCGGAGATTTACTCCATCTTCAGGTAGAGTAGTTAGAACATAGGCTGCCCAAAAGTGCGTGTTGTAATTTTTACCCTCGCGCGTGGCGCTCGGGCATGCATCGAGTCTACTCAGTTTATTATTATGACAAGGTTGGCAAGACTTTTAACGGAAATTTATTACAACGTTTACTAGAGTATGAATATTTCGCAAATTACAAACAAAAACAATAAAAAATCTACATCATTTCAAACACTGGTAATTTTACTACATTCTCTCAAAGTTTTAACTTCAAAAGTTCATTCTAAGGTTGTTAAAATAGCGAATTATTTTCGTTTTTTTTGCAAAATTTTGTCAAAACTATGCTGGGGTCACGTATCCTGTGGTGATGTCATATATTTAAATCTTGAAGAAGCGTTGATTTGCTGCTGTTGTACACGATTCCAGTGAACAGCAAATCAACGCTTCTTCAAGATTTAAAAAATATGACATCACCACAGGCATAGATTAAGTAAGAACAGATGTGTAACTTCAGTAAAAAAGTTGTCCCACGGTCGCCATCTTCCTAGCAAGTGTCGCTCGCGTGACAATTCGTCATTTGGTAATACGTCATTGCTTTCAAAATGCTTTCAACACGTTTTCCACAACTTTAATTGCTTTTAACAACTTTGAACATTGAACAAATGATGCTCTCGATTGTCTAATCCATAAATTTCGATCCAAAAAAGCCGCAATAATATGCAAACGTTCGTGTTTCCAGGACGCCATTTTGCTAGCAAGTGTCATGGCGTGAGCATGACGTGTACATCTAGGGAAATTTGAGGACACGAATTCCTATTAAGTTACACATCTGGTATATACTTCATCTGTGCCACAGGGTACGTCACCCCAGCATAGTTTTGACAAAATTTTGCAAAAACCCCGAAAATAATTCGCTTTTTTAACAACCTTAGAATGAACTTTTGAAGTTAAAACTTTGAGAGAATGTAGTAAAATTACCAGTGTTTGAAATGATGTAGATTATATATTGTTTTTGTTTGTAATTTGCGAAATATTCATACTCTAGTAAACGTTGTAATAAATTTCCGTTAAAAGTCTTGCCAACCTTGTCATAATAATAAACTGAGTAGACTCGATGCATGCCCGAGCGCCACGCGCGAGGGTAAAAATTTCAACACGCACTTTTGGGCAGCCTATGGTTAGAACTACAATTTGAATTTAAAGTAACATGCGCATGCATAAACGTTAAATTGCGACCGTTATTCGCGCGTGCGAAATTGTGTATCGTATAAATGACGTGTCTGATTAATTCTAATAAAAATCAGAAATTGTTAATTCTGTCTTTAATGTTTAAACTACGAAATCCAAGACATCTAACTGTTCCTATTTTCCATTCAAGTCTGGATTGAGCTTAAGGACTAGAAAATACATGCATGCAGAAACCCCTCGCCTTACTGACAAAACCATTTCCGAACATGAAGTATTTAAAGTAGTTGTCATGGTAACACGATAATTTTATTAAGAATATTTTTACAAATGAAAAATCCCCTAAAAATATCACTTTTAATTACAAACTTTTCAATTCCTCAAACATATATATGTTAAGTATGTTATTATACGTCATATAAGTTTCAATTTAAGGTAAAATTCAACCTCAAACGCTTCGCAAGACGTTTTAAAATGTTCTTAATAAAACTAAACGCCTGCTTTATCGAAAAACTTTAAGTTTGAAACAAAATGATTTCAAATTCCCGCATTAATAAAAAAGGTTAATCAATAAAGAAACACTGAAATTATAGGCTGTTTTTCATTTAAAATATACGCAACGATCAGCTTCCAAGCCGTTTTAAAGCGAACAATATATACATCAATATTTAAAACAAACCTACCTTCGTTAACGTCGGTGCCTTTACCCCTTCTTTTAGTAATTCTTTCGCCTTTATTATCTTAAAAAGCTTCTGAAATTCACAAAATCTTGCAAAAGTGAAATATATTTGCAAGAGATCATCATTCATCAATCATAAAATCAAGAAATGTTTGCTATTTCGCTATCGTCATGCAGTCGTTATAATGCAAACTTTAAATTTGACCAATAGTGTCGGCTATTCACGACAGTCCGCCATATTTTTGAGATCAGTGAGGATGACCACCCACCGAAACTTCGTTGGTGACCGACGCCCGCGATCATTGATGAACTTTAGACTTCGCTAATGCTTTCGTTTCCCCGGGTGTAAATAGCCGGGCGGAATTAGTGCCCTCGCCCCGGGCTTACGGCCGGAACGGCGCTCCGCGCCGTTGGCTCGTGGATGAATAATGCTTCGGTAAGTTTCCGTTCTACAGACCTTTTGTTCTTTTTAATTAAAATCTTAACAGACAGTTAAGTTTTTTGTCCGTAATGTTAGTCGAGATAGTGCTTCGAGAAAACCATGTTTTTATAAGACTTTGCTTTCGAATTTGCTGTGGAACGAAAATGTTCTTGGTATCGAACAAATCAATAATGGTCTGCCTGTTTCACCTACGTAGCTACGTTGTTCCGCGAAGGTCACAGTTGATTTGTTACACGGACATCTTTCTGTGTACACCGAACGGGAACATTTGAGTTGCCGCAGATTGGACATTCAGAGGTGTCTGTGCATACTTTAACGTAAGGTCGCGATTTTACGAGGAGTTGTTTAAGTGAGCTTTGCAATTGTGGTCTTTCAACTGTATTTTGACATTGAGGTTTGAACTCTGAACCGCTCTTCGGATGTCGGTGGTAAAGCTTCTGGAAATGAATGGAATTGTGAATGTGGGAAGAGGTACGACTTTCGATTCTGACAGTTTTCGTTTTGTTGTCTGGAATTTTTTTATATAGTTGTTGCTATAGCCGTTTCGTCTCGCTCTTCTTTCAAACTTCCGTTCAGCTTCTTCAAACAGGGCGTCGGTTGAACATATGTATGTATATGTCTTGATGGTATTACCGATAGCAGCCCGTTTGATTTGTTCTGGGTGATGTGATTTTGCATTCAACATTATTCCTTTGTTTACCGATTTTGTATGCCATCCCGTCTCCACTGTTCCAGATTCATTTACCTTGATTTTTGTGTTGAGGAATGGGAGAAATCCATCTTCGCCTAGTAACTCGATTTCGAATCGTACTGATGGGTCTTGTGAATTAAGCTTGTCTTGGATCTTTATAGCTTCATCTGGGCCGCTAGCAGGCGTAATACAATCATCAATATATCGATAATATAGAAGGGAAGGGAAAGAGCTTGGTCGGAATATATATATATATATATATATATATATATATATATATATATATATATATATGTATATATATATATATATATATATATATATATATATATATATATATATATATATATATATATATATATATATATATATATATATATATATATATATATATATATATATATATATATATATATATATATATATATATATATATGGGGCTAACCGGTTTCCCATAGCCAGACCTCGACGCAGTTCGTAATAAGATCGTTTCCAAGAGAGGCAGTTATTTCCGAAGATAGCTTTGGTGAGTAGAATGACGTCAGATACAAATTATACTATTAACATGAGGCTTAGGGAAAGTTCGTTCCTAAACATCATATAGAATAGGTAACGAGAAAATGGGACCTCCCCTTTGCATGAAAGCCCAGTGCGAAACCTCGTATTACACTGTCAAAGAAATAGCACAAAAAACACATATAAATCATTTGGTCACCAGAGGTACCACTCTCAGCATCCATTGCACCCCAGGACAATTTTAGTATGGTTATAAACACCTTAAATTTCTACGCCATATACATTAACATTAAAAAAATCCTATAGAATAGGTAACGAGAAAATGAGACCTCAACATAGACAACCATTTTGCATGAAAGCACAGTTGCAGTGTCGTATTACACTGTCGAATAAATAGCGCAAAAACGCATATAAATTATTTTGTCCCCAGAACAATTTTAGTACGATTATAAATAGCTTAACATTATACGCAATATATGTTAAAATAAACAATTTCTATAGAATAGGTAACGAGAAAATGAGACCTCAACATAGACAACCATTTTGCATGAAAGCGCAGTGCGGAATCTCATATTACACTGTCAAAGAAATAGCACAAAAACAAATATAAATTATTTGGTTCCCAGGACAATTTTAGTAATAATGGTCAGAAAAAGCTTAAAATTCTACGCCATATACATTAAAATAAAAAGTTCCTATAGAATATGTAATCAGAAATTGAGACATAGACTTGGATTATGACATAGATTTGGATTATGCATGAAGCGCGGTGCAGAGTCGTATTACACTTGCAACGAAATAGCACAAAAACGCATGTAAATAATTTGGTCCCAGGAAAATATATGGCATAAAATTCTAAGCCATATATGTTAAAATATGAAATTCGTATAGAATAGGTAATAAGACCTTAACATAGACAACCATTTTGCATGAATCGAAAGCGCAGTGCGGAATCTCGCATTACATTTTCAAAGAAATAGCAGAAGAACGCGTATAAATCATTTGGTTCGCAGGACATGTATTGTTTACTATCATTATAAACAGCATCAAATTATTGCATATATGTCAAAATGGAAAATCGTATTGAGTCTGTTGAAGCATGGACTTTGTAGCCTATGTGTTATTAATTTGTAAATAACAAAAAGGCAAAAACGTGTAAAAACGTTGGTTCCTATGACAAATTTCATATTGCTCGAAGGTGTATAATGATCTATATAAGAAACAAGACGCTCTACGGAGCGTTAACTCGCTGGGGCTATACAAATACGCTCATTACTGTACATGATACATACAGTACACAGCTATTTCAATTAAATGCCATTTTCCATTGCAGTCGCTTTGCCCGCGCGTGCGGAGCGTACATTACTCAACTTTCTCTGTAGTTGTCTAACTTGTGCATTTTTTGTCCGCCTGACTGCCCGCGGACATGCCATGAAAGTTGAACTACATTCGACTTGCTTGGTTTGCCCGCGCGACTGATTTTTCACGTGATTAAAATTTGTCGCTACGCCCGCGCGGGCAAAGCGACTACAATGGAAAATGGCCTTCCCCGAGCTAAGCGGAAAAGTCGAATACGAGCGCGAAAGGCTTAACACAGTACTAAATGCGGTAGGTCCTAGAGGTGTGCATCGGATCGGATTGGGCGTTTATAATCCGACAATTGCCTTATGTTTAAAATCCGATCCGATCCGAAATTGTCTAATCCGAATCCGATCCGATCCGAGTTTTGATAATGAATACCAATCCGATCCGATCCGAAGAATTCTTAAACAAAATAAATTTCTCATTCAATGCAAGTTGAAATATTTAACCAAATAAATATAAAAGCAAAAAAAACATATCAAGAAGCTGACAAAGTGACGTCCAATTCGGAAGTATCAAACGAATAATGCAGCGGCAACCGCAATAATGCTTTGATAAATTCATGGATTTGATTCTTGCGATAATGCATGGATAATTAATTCATTTCATTTCGGATATCGAAGTCAGATCCAATCCGATCCAATTACGAATCAAATTTATCAATCCGATACGATATGAATATTTTGGTTCCGAAATCCGAACGAATCCGATCGGATCGGATTCGGATCGGTTTCGGATCGGATTTGCACACCTCTAGTAGGTGAGTAGGTCCTACAAGTAAAGTTATATTTAGTACGCTACATTCTTCAAGACTGTCAGCCGCCAGTTGGTCCGCACAAAATAGAATATTTTGGGGCTTTTGGGCTCAAAATACTATCAAAATGAAGAGAGAAGTAAGACGAATCCACTGGTATACAGCCGAAAAAGAAAAAAACAATGATACCAAAGGATCAAACATACTGCATTTTTTTATAATTAGTTTAATAATATTGAGCGATTTGTCAACAATACAATTTCGCTTGGCTTTCAAACACAAAGGCCATAAATCGCTAGAATACTGTTGTTTAGTGATACATTTGACATCCATAATTAGTACACGCTAACGCTGAATCGAACGGTGGTATTTTTATCCTTATTGCGCCATTAGGCATTGCAAATACACTATGAATCCTCTGCTATGAATCGTACTGCGAGTGATTTATCAACAATACGTACTGCGAACGATTTGTCAACAATACAATTTCGCTTGATTTTCAAAGGCCATAAATCGCTAGAATATTGATGTTTAGTAATACACTTGACATCCGTAAATACAATTTCTTACGCTGAATCGAACGGTGTCGCTTTCTTCTCAAAATATATTATAGCAGCGCAGCCAAACGTAATTAGGTAACTTGCGAGTTGCGATTTGCGAAGGTTGCTGTTTCCATGTCAATTTTGGTAAAATTCCTTGCAAAATTGTTCAATTTTTTTAAATTTTCCCGAATTTTCCTCAAAACGCAAGGTTGTTTTAATATGGATAATATGGGGAAAAATTAGCAGGAGTCTTATGGACAATTTGGGTAAAGATTGGCAGCTCATTAATATTCTATTTTGTGGCTATCGACGACGATTGGAGATCCACTAATTAAACCATAACTAGGAAATACATGCATGCAGAAACCCTCGCCTTGCTGACAAAACCATTGCATTTTCCGAACATGAAGTATCCAAAGTAGTTGTCATGGTAACACGATAATTTTTTAAGAATATTCTTACAAACGAAAAATCGCCTGAAAATATCACTTTTAATTACAAAGTTATCAATTTCCCAACATATATATGCTAGGTATGTTATTATACGTAATATAAGCTTCAATTTAAGGTAAAATTCAACCACAAACGCATCGCAAAACGTTTTAAAGTGTTCTTTATAAAGCCAAACTGCCTTTCATTAAATGGCTTTATCGATAAACTTTGAGTTTGCAATAAAATGATTTCAAATTCTCGCATGCAAATAACTTTGCTTTCTTTTTATTTATTTAAAAAATTCGATATAATAAAAAAGGGAATCAATATTAAAGTTACACTGAAATTTATAATTATATGCTGTCTTGTTTAGTTGTTTCATATACGCAAAGGCCGTCGGGTTTTAAAGCCATTATAAAATCAATATTTAAAACAAACTTACCTTCGTTAACGTCGGCTCCCTTCTTTTAGCTGATTCTTTCACCCTTTCTTTCTTGAAATTTACAAAATCTTGCAGAAATACGAGCAAAAATGAAGAATATTTGCAAGAAATTTATCAATCATCAACTCATCAAATCAAGAAATGTTTGCTATTTCGCTGTCGTCATACAGCCGTTATAATGCAAACTTTAAATTGGACCAATCAGTGTCCGTTATTCATGACAGTCCGCCATATTTTGAGATCAGTGAGGATGACCACCCATCGTTGGTGACCGACGCCCGCGCTCATTGATGAACTTTAGACTTCGCTAATGCTTTCGTTTCCCCGGGTGTAAATAGCCGGGGGGAATTAGTACCCTCGCACGGCGCTTCGCGCCGCCGGCTCGGGGATTAATTCCGAGTAATTAAACCATACCCTTCTGACGGCGGTGAGTGATGAATGTCGTGATGGCAATATGTAAGTCATACTTAGAAGTTATGACTAGCTGTTGTTAAAGCCGTTTAAAATTGCAAATAAAATCAACATTTATGTTGTTACCATTGTCATAGTAAAAACTGCATGTGTAGTATATTAACCGCAAGCGTATGTATATTAACTTAATTCCACTTGCAAATATACATGTTTGAATTGATAATTTGGTTTGAATGATCGGACTGAAAGAACATTTAATTGACTTATTTACTATGACTTATAGCATTGGGTTTTTGAAAGGAAAAATTACTACCTAAACTGTTTAAGTTCAACTCTTTTAAATGATGGCAAAAAGCGAGCTCACCACTTGTGGTCGTTATCTGTTTAGTTAATCTCTTTTAATCTCGTGAGAAATGTCGGTGCGAATGTTGTGATGAATGTCGTGACTCGTGATCAATGTCGTGACAGCTTCACTACAGTCAGGCATTAACCTTTTCATGTTTACATCTCACTTAACGGGTAATATCTTAATAAAAGGTGATGGGGTTTTTCTGGAATCCTGAGAAATTTCTCCGAATCATAAAACTTGGTCACAATTAAGGAGCAGTTGCAAACTGAAAAGTCCTCTATGTGTATAAGTCTACCATATTCACTAACATTCAGGTCATATAAGGCCCTCTGTATATAAGCCCCACCATTTGCAAGCCCACAGGCTACAGTATATATTATTGGACAGGTATATTTATTAATGCAGTAATCGTAACAGGGATTACAACAGCTCAGATGAGTGACAATAATTACACCAACTTGTTTTATGTATTGACTATATACTGTATGTTTATATCTCTTTTCGTTCACACTATAGTTTACAAGTACGATAAATGTTATCTCTAACATCAAATGTCGTCCATATGTAAGCCTCCCCCCGTATATATAGCCTATAAGCCCTCCCATACTTACGAACGAATATAAGCACAGGGCTTATATTCATACTGTAGGTGTACTGTAGAACCCTGAATTACCTGACGTGTGAATTAATTATTATTCACACGTCAGGTAAGCCAATAGCATAACAGTTCAGGGTTCTACGGAACACCAAAAACAAAAAGTCCTGTGCTTATATTTGTTCATAAGCATGATGGGAGGGCTTATATATATAAACATGGGAGGGCTTGGCAATTAAATTTATTTTATTAGACTACTATTTGTAGGTGTACTTGGTTTTTGAGAAGAGAACAATTCCAATCTCATGACTCATGAGTATATATGTTCTCATATATATTTTCCATCAAGGGTCGGTTGTTCAAAATCCGATTAGCTTAACCCTAGGTTAACGTCAAATTCAAAGCATACTGCATGCGGAGCAGCTTGTTTATAAAATAGAAAATTTTTTTCAGAAATCTTGTCTGGATTATCAGAAGTCTAATTTTCCAAATTTTTGAAAGAAACAGACGTACAAATATACATAAACCAGAGCAATGTGTTAAATTTAACGCACGGTTAGCACTAGTCGTGCTTTGGACAACCGGTCCCAGACATAGAACTAAATGCTTCTTTGAATTAAAGTGCCTATGACACGAAATTTCACACCAAAGGTTAATGGTTGCATTGTAAAGATCACTTAAAATGACTTAAAGTGCTTATGTCACAAAAAAATTGATATTTGGTAGAGGACAAAAAGTTAGTTAATAGGTTCTTTAACATTTTTCGGTTTTCTCTTTTCATTCGCGAGTTACGAGGCTCTAAACAGCGATTTGCGTAAAATTGTCGCGTATCAACAAGAGTCTGGAATGAGCGTGGTGTGACGTAGCTTAAGGGACTTAATTTCGACGCGCATTATACATTTGATATATTTTCCAGCATGTCAGGCAGTAGCTCGGATTCGGAAAGCACTCATAGTTCTCAATGTGACTCAGAATACAATTATATTCCTGGATATATTATAGAGGATGAATCAAATGATACTAGTCACGAAATTGGAACTCTAGAAGCAGTTGATAGCGAAATTTTAGGCGATTATGATGCATGCCTTTATGCCGATGAACCGCTAGCCGGCGAAGAATGGTACGCACGATATCTAAAAATTCAGCAGAACACAAGCAACAAAACGAGATGCTACAGCGAAGATTAGATGGCCTTGAAGATATTAAATTATGGTGAGTGTAAACATAGATTTATTTTAACATTTTAACGTAAAATAAGTATCTCTGGCTAATATATTTTGCGGGATACGGGCTCATATGGCATCAGTCACAACAAAGAGTTAAAACCACACTTCCCTCACCTTCGCAAGAAAATACAAGACACGAGATCAAAGAAAATATAAACAGACTGGTTCAGAGCAAATTACGTATATATTCTTGTTTGAAGCAACAGTGTTTATCTGTGATCACGTTTATTTAATACGAACGATTGAACGATTGTATTATCTCGCACGTTTTGACTTAGAGCCCATTTTTCCAAACAAATAGGTCGGCTGTGGCACATCTTCAAAAACCAAGTTTACCTTCAGAACTTCCCTACAAGATTCCATCTCCTGACAGCACTAAGCTTCGTGTGCATATTGTATATGTATTATCACACAATCGCCGCATTTACACTTGTGAAATATGATACAGGTGAGTGTGGTTTGATGTGACTGATGCCGTATCAAAAATATATCAGCCAGAGATACTTATTTTACGATAAAATGTTAAATAAATCTATGTTTACGCTCACCATGATTTAATATCTTCAAGGCCGTCTAATCTTCGTTCTAGCATCTCGTTTTGTTCCTTGTGTTCCGCATAGTTTTAGATATCGCGCGTAGCATTCTTGGCTCTAGCGGCTCATCGCAGTCATCGGCATAAAGGCAATATGCATCATAATCGCCTAAAATTTCGCTATCAACTGCTTGTAGAGTTCCAATTTCGTGACTAGTATCATTTGAATCATCCTGTATAATATACCCAGGAATATAATTGTATTCTGAGTCACATTGAGAACCATGAGTGCTGAAAAACATATGTCTTCCCAATAGCCTTTTAGTACTCCTTCACATGTGAATTCGAACTTCCGTCCCTTAAGCTACATCACACGGCTCTCGTCCCAGTCCATTTTCCATTTTTTTCACGGGCGCGACAATTTTTCGCTAAAAGCCAATTTTTCAAGGTTTAGAGCCTCATACCTCCTAGTTTGTGTAAAATAAAGAAATGTAAAAGAGAGAAAAATACACAACCAGCGAACCGTTTCAGTAGGTTCTTTTAATTTTAAACTTGTTTGCACTATAGTGTTTTTGTGATAAAATACAATTATTGTTCCATGAATTTTGTTTGAGTTTTCATCTGTCGCTGTATAACAAAACACTGTTCCCTCGGCAACTAAAAATCGAAGAATCTGAGGAAATATTGGTACGGGGGGGGAGGTGGAATTTGGTTGGCAACAAATGACCACTTTTATATCCGGGAATCTTGACGGAATATGTGCTTTCATGGTTGAAACATTTTTGTTAGCTTTTTTGTCATTCAGCTACCATTGAAGGACTTTCAAAAATTATTTGGGGCGATTTCCGCACATCCCCCTAAACTAAAAAGTGAACCTGATTAACATAATATACAATACAATTATATGCAACTACTGTAACAGTATGCAAGTCCATTAACAGATGTGCCTTGAGTTTCTGCTAAGGGCTTCGGGGACTGGGTAAGGGAACTGGGTGAGGGCGAGTCCCCCACTCTTCTTTAGGACTACCTTTGAGAGATGTTTAAATCTGTTTAGAAATGGGGTGAGGGGGGGGGGGGAGACGTGTGCCCAATGTAATGCGATATCAATATTAGCGAACTTAATTAAGCAAGGCTTAATCTAATACAGGGACGTGACAAGAAACAGCCTTAAGTTTTATGCAAAACTATCGGTATCACGAACCTCAACAAGCAGGACAAAAGTGTAACTTGGACGACTAGTAATATCGTATTAATTAATGCAAGAAATTGAGCAGAAATTTGCAGTTAAAATTCCACGGAAGTTTTGGACGTCGCCGTCGCTCTGTTTACAACGGCAAAATACTGATTATCATGCAGGTCACACTGGGAGAAAGGCTACTTTCAAATGGGTTCTAGAACTTTTCTCAATTATTAACCCTGTGTTAACGTTGATCATACGATGGATAATGGAAGACAGGTTTGCTTCTGCAATCATTTGGTTCTACCAGTTTGTTTGCCGTCACCGTCGCGTTCCCGTCCAACATGCTTAAGGTCGCTAACGTCCAGCTTATACGGGAAATTTGGCGCGATAAACTGGAAGAACATTTTTTGTGTTGCGTAAGCAAGCAAGTACATTATTATTTCTACAAGTGCCTTGCTTATTATTTTTACATTTTTATTTAGCTACTGTTGCAAATTGTATGGTATTTATAGACTGTGACTCTGAGAGGCCTCAGGTTTTCAAAATTTCCCATGGGAGCATGCCCGCGGACCCCTACTAACGTTCGCAGCGCCCACTTAACAGTATCTTGATTACGTCCTACATTATCCCCCCCCCACTTCTGTATCGCGGCCTACGGGACTTAATGTGTCTTTTAACACGATCCAGCCACGATCTAGCGATCCTAATGTTATATTTCATTGTCCTCCATAACGGCCAGTCATGCACTCGTTCCGCATTTGACATTTTTGTGACACTATGAAGAGGGCCTATTTATTCATTTCATGATTGGATGTGTTTAATATCACTATATGCAGGTACAAAAGTGACGTGTCAAGAAGGCGGATGTGGCGCGTGTGTTGTCGCATTGACAAAACAAGATCTGAGTACAAAGAAGGACAAAATCATTGCTGTTAATAGTGTAAGATTTAGTTTTCATTTTACTAAGTAACTTTATTATTTATATAATTCTATAACCAGGTTGGAAAATTGGAAAGACTATTTTATTTTCAGGGCAGTATCTAGAAGAAATATCGAAGTTCTGATCCCAAAATATTGAGTGGTCGTTCTTGAGCGCGCCTCCCACTCACTCGCGGCCCGCACGTGAAATCGAACCATTTTATATTCAACAATCCCTCGCCCACATTTCCCCAACATTGTTCGAACGTGAAATATTCAAATTACGCCAAAATGGAACGCAGGCTCGCGTTGCTCGCGTCATGATAGCCATGGCAACTGTTTTCGACAATTGCTTTCTTAATTGTTTGTCCTAAACGGTAAAAATAAATTAATGTTTTACACTTTTAACCACAGAACTATCGATTTCTAACATATATAAAGTAGGTATGTTATTTCGCTTTCTATGGGCTTTATTATAATTTAAAATTCAACACGAAACGCTTCGTAAAATGTTTTTAAATGTACATTGAAATTAACTGCTTTTTGCCGATAAACTCTTCAACTTATTATTAATACTCGTATTTTGAAACGAATTAAATTTTATGTCATACATGCAGGTCGCACTTGAAAATAATTTTCTCCCTTTTTGAGCTTTTATAAAGATATTAAAACAAGCTAATTCAAAGAAACATTCACATAGAATGAAAAGGAAAGCTGTACATGTTTAAGGCCTTCAGGCGAAATCTGGACTGCACAGTCATACATAAACAATAAAAATAAACTTACCCTATACTTCAGGATTTCACATACTTATATAATTTCTTTAAAATATGGAAAAGGTGATTTAGAACTTAATGTGTGAAAAGATGTCCAAGCTTTCTATCACGCATGTTTTTTTTAATCTTTGCCTCCTTCACTCCTGGAAAACTGCTATATTGTTGAGATGAGTGAGATGACGACCCGTGCATAGCCATACGCCCGCGATCATTGATGAACTTTGGACTTCGCCAATGCTTTCCTTTCCCCAGGTATAAATAGCCGTGCGGAATTAGTACCCTCGCCACGGACTTCGCCCTACGCGCTCCGCGCGTGGCTCGCGGATTAAAGATAGAGGTTGTTTAATGTTTTGAAAATCCAAAACTGCAAAATATTCTTGTGACTAGAAAACGTTATTTTCTCGACCAATCTTACACCATGCATGGCATTTCATGTACAATTGGTGTTTTGCCGGAGAAGCCGTGTTATGACCTCAGAATGTCTAGTAAAATTGATTTATGAAAGTCAATTGTTTTGCTCATTGGCATATATTACTTTTTTTTCTTATGAATTTGGGCGCCGATATGTTTTCCCCGAACTGAAATGACTCTAGAAACTGCCCGGACTTCCTGGGTGCAGAAGGTCAAAAAGGGAATATGAAATATTTTTTTGTTAATTATCAACAGTCTGTGGCAATTTCCTCTCTCACGCGGCAGGACAATTGTGCGTGGTGGGACTATATCACGGAATAGAGACCATACATAAAGGCAAAAGCTGCCACGACATTATTGTTCCAGAAATGGAATAGAGAGGTCAACAGGCACAGCACGCCGATGCTCGCCAAACGTCCCCCTCAAAAATCTTCCAGTATCCCCAATATAAAGCATGCCACATCTATATACATGAGATGTAGTAGATAAAGAAGGAGGAGGTGAATTGGTGCTCGACATGGTACTGAGATTTTGGTGCTGTAATCTCTGACACACACCGTTCGAGATTAGTTCCCTGCTGCGCTTTTGGCTACAATAGCTAGACAGCTGCGAATTACAGCTATCTGCAAATATAAGCAACTAGCTGTTTCGTCGGGTTCTCCCTTTTTTCCAGTTCATCAAACGCTATTTCGTACGTAATCTTAAAATATTTTCTTTTACAGTGTCTCTACCCGTTATTTGCTGCTGATGGATTTAAGATTACAACGACCGAAGGATTGGGCAGGTAAGGCCTTATTAATAAGAGAGTAGGTGCTATGTTTGAGTGAAAATGAAAGTGCGCGAGTGAAAAAGCGCAAATTTTGGTGGAAATACTTGAGCAAGGTGGAAAATAATTGAAGTTTCTGCAACGATTGAGGAAAATATCAAATGATTGTATGTCAGCCAGTCAATGAAAATCGCTTGACTTGATAAGTGGACTGGCTAGTGCAGACAAACTATATTTGGGCGGTTAATTCAGTGGACTAATAATAAAATACCTCCAAATTTACTCACGTATGGCGAAATCAGTTATTTTTAAAACGTCGTAAATTGGCGTTGCTTATATATAGGGTCACAGAATAATTATACAGTCACAGAATAATTACAAACCCACACACTTTTCAAACGCATGTTGGGATCTTTAGGCATTGAGAACATAATATTTTTCAAGTTTTTCTGTGTTAGTGTTATGTACTCAGGTGAATATGATGTTTGTGATGTTACTCTGAGTGTGTATCCACACCGGATAAGCTTGAAAAATATGCTTGGCCCACGGTGGGAATCGAACCTACGACCTTTGGAATACTAGGCCCAATGTTCTGCCAACTGAGCTACGCGGTCAGGACGGTTCTAGTTTGTGACATTTCGGAACTGAGTCTAGTTTCTTCGATATAAATGTAATCTAGTAATCATTGCATTGATATCGCAGAAACTAAACTCAGTCCCGAAATATCACATACTCGAACCGTTCTGACTACGTAGCTCAGTCGGCAGAGCATTGGGCTAATATTCCAAATGTCGTAGGCTCGATTCCCACCGTGCCCAGGCATATTATTCAAGCTTTCCCAGTGTGGATACACACTCAGAGTAACATCACAAACATCATAATATTGTTCTTTATCAACCAGACCACGCTTCGCAGTAGTCAAACTATTAAACTCGTGTCTAAAATTAAGTGCGATAATAATGGATTTAGCCTCGATTTGAAAAACTATGGCTTTGCACTTGTTTTACCGGACGAGGAAATCATTGCACGCCAGTGTCACTTCTCTCATCAAATACGTGAGAAAAATTTCACTTGTATCCCTAGCGTTACTTTTGAAAGCATTTTGATTAATCGTGCTTTTTCATACATTCTGCAGTAGTCGTTCTGGATATCATCCTATTCAAGAACGCATTGCAGAATACAATGGCAGTCAATGTGGATATTGTACGCCGGGAATGGTGATGAACATGTACAGGTAAGAAGTATAGTGTTGCAATCAAGTTTCTACCTCCTCCGCAAGCGTTTCTGTGGGGAGGGAACACGCGGGCGAAAAAAACGATTGGCGGGCGGACGTAACGAAACGCCTGCGAAGAACCTTATTCAGCAAACTGTATTCCTTCGAAACTTGAATTGGTAGACTTGACGTACAAGGCTTAAACAAATTCAGTCCTAAGTGCTTGACAGTCCTGAAAAGTCAAAATCCTTTGAAATTGTGTGGAAGTCCCGTATTTTATACCACTTTCACAGTACGCCGGAACGATACGGTATGACAACGGCGAGGAAAAGTCGCAATTAGCTGTGCGTTGATAATACGCCGGAGAGAAATTGTTTGAAAACGTCACTTTTGCCGTAACAATTTGAGCACGGTTTCTAAATGGAGCGAAATGAAAATTGAGCGAGCGCTTCACGGCTTCGTTTGAACAACGGCACCGTCTTTATCTTTTCCCACTTTTATTAGCATTATGATTTCATTTGACCTAATCCCCGAGCCGGCGGCGGGAAGCGTTGTGCGAGGGTACTAATTCCCCCCGGCTATTTACACCCGGGGAAACGAAAGCATTAGCGAAGTCTAAAGTTCATCAATGAGCGCGGGCGTCGGTCACCAACGATGGGTGGTCGTCCTCACTGATCTCAAAAATATGGCGGATTGTCATGAATAACGGACACTGATTGGTCCAATTTAAAGTTTGCATTATAACGACTGCATGACGACAGCGAAATAGCAAACATTTCTTGATTTGATGATTGATAAATTTCTTGCAAATATATTTCACTTTTGCTCGTATTGCTGCAAGATTTTGTAAATTTCAAGAAAGAAAGGGCGAAAGAATCAGCTAAAAGAAGGGAGCCGACGTTAACGAAGGTAAATTTGTTTTAAATATTGATTTTATAATGGCTTTAAAACCAGACGGCCTTTGCGTATATGGAACAACTAAACAAGACAGCATATATAAATTTCAGTGTAACTTTAATATTGATTCCCTTTTTTATTATATTGAATTTTTTAAATAAAAAATAAAGCAAAGACCAAAATTATTTGCAAGCGAGAATTTGAAATCATTTTATTGCAAACACAAAGTTTATCGATAAAGCCATTTAATAGTTAAAGGCAGTTTAGTTTTATAAAGAACACTTTAAAACGTTTTGTGAATTGTTTGTGGTTGAATTTTACCTTAAATTGAAGCTTGTATTACGTAGAATTACATACCTAACATATAAGTCCAACTTTTGTGCTTAATAACTTTTGGACTGCTACTTCTAATAAAACGGTTTTAGGCTTATTTTAAAGCCTGTTCATTTATATTTCGACCAAATGGTCATCCGTGTCTTTAGTGCAAGTAATAAATGCACAGGAGAGAATTTAGTAAAACCTATCATGTTTAGATGCCGCTTAATTATACAAATTTACTGTGTTATTCCATAGTCGGTTGCAATGTTTGAATTTTTTTGTTTAAACTTTAATGTTCTTGTTGCCACATCGGAAAAACTAGTAAGAACTTGTTAAAAACATTCTAAAAGAGATTAGGTTGTTTTATTTATTTCAAAATCCTATATTATTTCCAGAAATCATCAAAACAACCTTACGTCCATGCATCGTCCGAACGAGCACCATCGAATCGGGCCGTAATATAAATTAGTCTAGGACCTGTATATGAGTTTGTATGCGTTTCATTTAGCACAGGTAATCTCAACTGTTTTAGGGTAAAATGACCATGGCGGTCAACATGGCATATGTGCCAAAAGCTGAATCCGGGACGAAAGTCCTGAAAATGACCCCGCCCTGAAACGGCAGTGTCGACATAGCTCTAACTTCAGAAAACAAAAAGCGATAGTCTTTCTGAAGTGCTTATAGTGTTTAGAAGGGTTGCTTTTAGGGGTGGTCATTGGAAGAAAAATTTGTCCAAGTATAATATTTTACAAGAAAATGACCATGCACCACCCCAGGTAAATTGCTGATTATGCATAAAATAACTAATATGCCAGGCAGAAATTAAATATTCTTATTTCCTAAAAAAAATTATCATGGGGTTAAAAGCTATGCTTAATTTAATATAAATATTGTTGATTTCATAAGGATTGTCATTGTTTTCTTTAAATATAATAAATTTTATTTCACTTACCCCCCACGAAAACGCGATTTCAGCCATATTTTGCCGTCTTGTTTGCTTTTTATCGCCGAATCACGCAAATATCATCCAGTTATTGTACTTTTACATAATCATAAATGGCTGAAGAAGATTTCAAAGAAGGTTTCATCCACTTTTGAAACAGTGCAGTGTATTTTATCTTCGATAATGTGTCCTTCGATATCTCGTCAAATTGCCGCCATTTTAATGGCTCGCCGCTTCTCTGCCCGATAAATGCCACTTCTTCGTTTTCATATGTATTTAGATTACATTATCCAAGAGTACTTCATTGTAGAATAGTCCCAATCCAAAAATTGGAAATATTATTTGTACTTGGGAGGAAAAAACCTCCCAGTACAATTGTCCTGTTAGAATTCAAAAGAAATAATTTAAAAGTCACGCGCAAGTTCGCGAAAACACCTCGTGGGTTACATAACAGGGGGGTGAATATTTTCACGAAACGTTTGTTCGCCACCACAGCAACCTAACTAAATGTATTATATTTTTTGTATTTTTATAATTGATGATAAATATACGCAAATATTTATTGTTTTTATCAAAAATCACAAATATACAATAAATATAATGTACCTAACTTAGGTTGCTGTGGCCTGTGGTGGCGAACAAACGTTTCGTGAAAATATTCACCCCCCTGTTATGTAACCCACGAGGTATTTTCGCGAACTTGCGCGTGACTTTTACCGCCATGGTCATTTTACCCTAAAACAGTTGAGATTACCTGTGCTAAATGAAACGCATACAAACTCATATACAGGTCCTAGACTAAATATAAATTAGCAAGTTGACAGCGAGCTAAAACACGCTTCAGCCGGTATTATAACGCATTTGAAGTCAGCAAGTGAATTTAAAATAGTGTGTTGGAAGCCATTATTACTTGATTTTTACAAGCAATTGCCAAAATGCCTCAATTTGCTCGTTTTGTTGACAAAATAAGTTATTTTCATCAAGTACCGGTTTGTTATTGCATCTCAAATTTTTGACTCTCCAATCGCAATCACTTAAAATATTATTATTCACGAACTTCTGGATTATAGTTACGAAACAACCCACCGTTGAAAAGCTGAATGTCTACGCTTTAAAATAAATGCAAACCTGAACGTTTTGCTTTAATATTCGTTTCGAAATTTATGTTTGAAGCGAGGACTCCGTTTTTTATGATACACCCTGTATATGTTGGGAAATTGATAGTTTTGTAATTAAAAGTGATATTTTTAGGCGATTTTCATTTGTAAGAATATTCTTAAAAAATCATCGTGTTACCATGACAACTACGCTAGATACTTCCTGTTCGGAAAATACAACGGTTTTGTCAGCAAGGCGAGGGTTTCTGCATGCATGTATTTTCTAGTAGACCATATTATTCTTTGCCAGAAACTGCAGTCAATTGATCTTAAACCATCTGTGTTTAATTGGATAGTGGATTTCGTACGTGGACGACTGCAAAGAGTAAAACCCATTTTCAGCTAGGTGAATTTGTGCGCGCGAACAGTAAGGTGGGAACTGATCCAACTTTTTTCGCTGACCAATCGCTTTGCCCAGATTTGTTTTCTGAAGAAGAGATTTCTGAATATATATTTAATGAAAAGTTCCTTACAAGATATTGCTAATTCTATTGTGAGATGGTCTCCTGATAATAAATTCCAACTCAACCAGATAAAATGCAATAAACAGATAAACAGAACTAACGTATAGAGCTTGTTGAAGAAGCAACGATTCTTGGCTTATTGATCACCCAGTACCTGAAGTTGAACGTCCATGTAGATAAGACAACGACTAAAAGTAGCGAAGCGATTGTATCTGCTCAAACGACTTAAGAGATCGGGTCTTAGTGACGATGGTTTAAAATGTTTCTACATCGCCTCTAAAAGCTCTATTCTCGAATACGCATGTAAGGTATATCATTATTACGGTCTCCCGGAATATATTTCAGACCAAATAGAGCGGATTCATACAGGAGCTAGCATTGCGCATCATATGCTCTGATGCCATTTATCATATTCAGAAGTCACTGAAGAATTAGACATAGAAACCTTGAGGACAAGAAGGAAATGATTATATATATTGAAGTTTTCAAATCCATAGTAAATGAGAAAAGGACATGTATTTTAAATAATTATTGTAAAAATCGTGTAACTGAGCTTCCGGCCTGCGGGACGATTTGATTCTTATACTAAACGGTATAATAGCATATTTTTATTATCTTTATTATTTTTTGTTCAACTTCTAAAGTTTTTCACTAGTTGAGCTCGTTTTAGGTCTAACAGCTTAGTGTGAACATACGTAAAACTTGGCGTCATTATTTCGCTTCGACGCAGCGTGTTCAAGTGCGTCTGGCATGCATGCATGCAGTCCTACAACGATGAACACGACACGAGTTCTTAATAAAACCTGTGCCAGTCTAGATAGGGCCAACAATAAGAAAGCGTCGGATTGATAGAGATGCAACTACGTGGAAAATACAAGGTGATCTTCGACATTTCGAGCAAACGACCTTCGTCGGAAAAAATTAGTAGCTGACGTAGGGCCTTCGAAGACCTTACTAACCGTATTTTTCAGGTATAGTTGTATCCCCCCTATCAATCCGAAATGTTCTTAATAAAATAGAAAACAAAAATTAGTAATATCATTTCATAACCTGACGTTTTGGCTGAAGCAAAATATCAATGAATTGCTCACATTGCTCTTGTAATTGTGGTGATTGCATGCAGCTTCTTTCCCTTTTTTTTTAGTTTGCTTTCTGAAAACGCCCAACCTACTAAGCAAGAAATTGAAGATGGTTTTGACGGCAACCTGTGTCGTTGTACTGGTACGGTATGACGGGGTTTAAGACATTGTTGAAGGGATTTGTAGATGGAAATTTCAAGCGAAATATTTACACATTTATTAGACCTAACTAGAAGCAGTTGCGAAGAATGCAACTATAGGCCGTCTGGCAGGAGTAGAGCTTGCAGCTCTGCGATTACGGTGCAGCGCTTTAACCAACTGAGCTACAGAGAGACAGTTGTCATGCTCTGACACTTGACGTTTTACCCTCGACTTCCCACCCTCGACAAAAACCTAAACTCTTGTGCAACATTTAATTATCATAGTTATGAAATACTGAATTGCTAAAATAGCTATTGTATGTTTAGGTTTCCGTCCTATTCTTGATGCGATGAAATCATTTGCAAAAGATGAGAATCCTATTGATATCGAGGTATATGGTAACATAATTATATGAACATATAACGCCTCATTAACTTCTGGTCATACGTAATTGGCTGATTATGATTACCTGATATGGAATTAAAATTCCCATTTTGGAACTAAAATTCCGAAATTCCCAGTACAAGTACTATTGCGCCGTAGGGTTTAATTTAATGAATGAATGAATGAATGTATTCAACCAAAATCTCATTCATACCGTAATCGTAGCTCGTATAACTATAATTTCATAATGAGACCGATGGAATTCAATTCAGATAATTATATAACTTGTGCCAGGCAAAATGACGGGTGTAAAAATTCAATATTGTATGATTATTTTGCGATAAAATTTACGATATATGACCGCCATTATCATACTAATTTGTTACTAAAATATATGTTGGCACTTTTCAAAATTATTTTTGAACTAGGGTATGTATTTGTTTTGTGTTTAATTCACATCTATTTTCAGTATTTTGGTGTAATATAAAACAGATTATGAATTTTTTCATTCGTGTAATATAGTAAAAATTTTTTCATTAGGTGACTTTCATCCCATTGGAAATATTTTTACCATTGCACTCATAAACATTCGTTATTCCTTGAGCCAACGGCGCGCGCCGTTCCGGGCGTAAGCCCGGGGAGAAGGTACTAATTCCGCCAGGCTATTTACACCCGGGGAAACGAAAGCATTAGCGAAGTCTAAAGTTCATCAATGATCGCGGGCGTGACCAACGATGTTGAGTGAGTGGTCATCCTAACTGATCTCAAAATATGTGGCGGACAGTCATAAATAGCGAAAACTGATTGGTCAAATTTGAAATTTGTTGTTGTATGAGAAATGACGACAGCGAAGTAACAAACATTTCTTGCAAATCAGCAAATATATTGTATTTTGCAAGATTTATCAAATTTCAAAACCTTTTTGAGAGAAAAAAAAGTCTTAAAGAATGGAGCAAAGTCGCCGACGTTAACTTAAGTTTGTTTTTAGTATTGATGTATTGTAATGTTTACCGATATAAGGCAGTTTAGTTTTAAGAATATTTTAAAACGTTTTGCGAAGCGTTTGTGGTTGAATTTTACATTAATTAAATTGAAGCTTATATTACGTATAATAACATACCTAGCATATATATGTTTGGGAAAAAAACATACCTAGCATATATATGTTTGGGAAATTGATCATTTTGTAATTAAAAGTGATATTTTGGGGGGATTTTTCAATTTCAAAACTATTCTTAAAATTATCGTGTTACCATGACCATACTTCATGTTTGGAATTCAGCATGGCGGGGGTTTCTGCATGCATGTATTTTCTAGTTGTATTCCATACTCTGATTCTTTTACTGCATGGTTCACATGTAAGAAAGGAACCCATGTTTGGTTGAGTGGTTCCTGACCAACTTATGTGTGCTGATCGTCTTTCCATGAGGCTGTATGCTTGCGAAGGACTCCTATATATGCGAACTCTGGCTGCTACCGGCTGCTACGTAATATTCCAAATCCGACTATGAGGACCGGACTAGATTTCAAGGTCCGCGCAATTTGATCAACTCCGAGGCGAAACAACTGGATTAAAATGTGAACACTTGAAATCTAGTCCAGTCCGAATTGGAGGATTTGGAATGACATTTAATACGACGATTGTGAATTAATTTTGATCCAATCCCAGGACTGGATCAATATATTTCACTAGGTATCCAGTATTATAATATAGTCATTCACCGTATATGAGCTGTTCTGCAATCTGATTGGTTGAATTACTCGCCGTATATCAGCTCATATACGGCGAGTAGCGAAAAACAAGATGGCGGTCGGAAAGCTACACGAGTTTTGCGAAGCAGAAAAAAGGAAAATATTCGCTTTGAGAAAGATAATAGTACAAGGAAAAACTCGCAAAAAAATTTGACAGGTTTGCAAAATAGATTTTGTTACATACAAATTAGTTTAAATACAAGTTTTTTAAAGAATTAATACCGAAACAACAGCAAGAAAAACATGTTCATTGAGAATACAAATTGTTCAGAAAAGTTTGCAACGAAAGACAAACGAATTTACAGTCAACAAGCACTTATTATACTACCAAACATCTGTATAATATATCTGAGTTTTTCTGTGAGATAAACCGGTTCTAAAACCATTTCTTTCACTTCGTCTTCGAGTTGTATTAAAAACAAAAGTGTTTGAAATTTTCAAGGCCAAGGCCGCCAAGCGGTTTCTGGCCGACATTGTAACAGAAGATATAAATTAATTATTGCTTCAGTTACTGGCTATTACAGTATTGGACTATATTATAAAACAATTGTACCATTCGCTGTCGTCGTATATAGCTGATAGCCAACTCGGTGCTACGCACCTCGTCGGCTATCAGCTCATATACGACTCGAGCTCATGGTATATATAATTGTTAATTATCATGCAAGTGAGCAACATAAAGTATATATGGCTAATTTATTCATGAATTATTAATTATTTGAGGTCCTTCGGCCCATGTCTGATAGTCAACCTCATTTTCTCGACCTGGAGATGCGCATTATATTTAGTAGATTCAACTCCGAGGCGAAACCGAGGACTTGATCAAAATGTGAATACTTGAAATCTAGTCCATTCCGAATTGGAGTATTTGGAATGACATTTAATACGAAGAAATCAGTACTTAAAGTGAGGTGAATTAATTTTGATCTAATCCTAGCACTGACTAATTTTGATCCAGTCCTAGGACTGGATCGATATATTTCACCAGGTATCCAGTATTATCATGCATGTGAGCAACATAAAGTATATATGGCTAATTTACTCATGAATTATTAATGATTTGAGGTCCTTCGGCCCTTGTCTGATAGTCAACCCCATTTTCTCGACCTGAAGATGCGCATTATATTTAGTAGTAATGGCTGCTTGCTGTCCGCACCATTAAATCAATGTGATTATGTTAGATTTTGAACCAGTAAGAGTACACTCTAAGCAACATGATGCCTCATTATGTTTCCAGGACCTTCAAAGATGTCAAGGCAAATGTTGTGGTGAGACCAGAACTTGTCGTGGTTGTTGTTTCAATCAAGAACAAATTTCAAGTCCAATGTGGTTTAAACCCGCATCTTTAAAAGATCTATATACGATCCTGAATGCACATTCATCTGACTCCGTCAAAATGGTTGTTGGCAACACTGGGAAAGGTAATTCATATTATACAATAATGTTTACACTTTCTAAACGTCGCCATCACGTGGCATCCTGCATCTAAGGTCATTAATTAAAAAAATATCGGAAAAACGAGGTTGAACATGCATGAGATCGATCCAGTACAGATTTTATACTGCTGTACACTGTAGAAACTAATAATAATAATAACATTTAATATCCATCTTTGGTTAGAAAAGTACAATGGATTTACAAGAAGTACTAAGGTTAAAATTGAAAAGAAGACATTTTACTATTATTTACATCAATGTTGCTAAAAAAGTTTATACTAGTTATTCTATAAAATTAATTTAGGACTGTTTTAAAAGAGATATGGCTCTAGGTATAAAGGATTGCCGGTGTCTTTTAGTATACGATAAAACATGTGGTAGATTATTTGTTGTTCTTAGATCGCGTTCATGGGTAAAAGGTTGGGGGATAAGTTTGTTACATGGGTTGGTTAAACAAAAAAAGTTTAAACAAAAAAAGTTTTTTGAGTTGATTCAGGACAGCCCATTTAAAATAGGTTGTTTATATACTAGGTTAAAATAACTAAAATTAAATAGGTTGAAACAACCCATTACAATCATATTAGGGGCTTCGGTGGCCAAGTGGTTAGCGCACTTGCCTTTCACCTCTGAGGCTGCAGGTTCGAGTCTCACTAAGTACCTTCTCAGTGCGACTCGAACCCAGTCCCCATGTGAAAAGAGTAAAAGTCAACGCTCTGCCGAAAGCCGTGGGTTTTCCCCGGGTAATCCGGTTTCCTCCCACAGGGAAAGTTGACAGGGTGGGTTAGGTAAAAAGGGCCCACAGTAATTGGCATATGCTGTTGTGATGACCCTGCCCTAGTTGGCAAAAGCTAAATAAATAAATAAATAAATAAATATAAGTTATTTTAACTAATTTATATTAGGTTCTAACCTATTCTATTGGTTAAAACAACCTATTTTTATTGGCCATAGCCAATCCTTCGCAATTGATAAAATAATAATATTAGGCTATTTTAATGTATTTATTTTGGTTCTAACTTATTCAAAACAACCTACTACTATTGCATGCAATCTTTAGAATTATGCTATTTTAAACTACCAGTTTCAACAGAGTAATAATTCTTATTATATCAAATCTGCTGGATAAAACAATCTCAGTAGGTAACCCCAACATATGGCGGAATTTTCCCGCGAAATGACATCATGTGTGCCCACAAAGAGGTGACGTCATACTAAGAGGGGGGCGGAAAGGTGTGCGCAACAAATGATCCGAATCGTATGACGTGATGGATGTGCGCACACGTGTGAATGAGTAAGATCATCTTTACCCAAGGAACGACTGACACTAAATAAAAATTCCAAAATGTTAACTATTTTATATGACCCGTTTAGGCCCGAAATGGCACCTTTTGGCCCGATCAGGTCCGACGGCCCGATACTTGGATGGGCACTCTTCGTCTGTGGAAACCTAGGGAAGCCAGGGCTTGTCGCACTCCGCTATTATGACGTCACTGCAAAAAGTGACTAGCTTGCAAAATGCGCTATATATAATCGTCTATTGTAAATTTGATCCGATGATGATATGAAACGTCTTAAACGTGTGCACGGTTTCGGGCGAACGGGACTTACTAGCACATGAGCATGGTGCTCCATCTGATTATATGCACATAGAGAATAATATTTCCGTTAATGACGCGGGCCATCGGGTCACCTTGGGCCAGAATGATCGTTTCAGGCTATGCTCATAACTTGCTCATCTGCTCATATCGATGGTCCGGATACACGGTGTAGACCTAAAGACATATCAAAACAAGGATACATCTGTTCGCATTGCCCGCACGCACAGTGTTTACGACCAATAATCACACACATTATTAAAAGTTTTGCAAATCATTTATTTTTATTTATTCTACTATAAAAGATTACAAATTGGAATCTTTGTCATCATCAAAAGCAGGATAAAGGCAACCTCGTACCAATGTAGACGCTGGTCAGGTGATCTGCCAAAATCTAGGAGATTTCTAATTAATTATCTTGGATCCCTTCACGACAATTATACAAAATGCTAGTTATCAGTTAAACTATAAAAATCATCCAAATATCAAATATATATTGACCTCTTCTTGGATTGCTAACTAATCACGTGACCAGCGTCTACCAGGGTCTTTTCTCCCCTCTCCAAGACGAAAGACCCTGGGAACGAGGTTGGGATAAAGGAGGTTTAACGAATACGAAAATGCAAAAGCTACATTTTTAGAGCAAAATATTGTTGCTAGGACACTGTTTTGCTTGGATGCTTGCAAAAATGAATTCAGACATTTCGGGGGCTGTCGCAAGGGAAAAAGAGCGAGGGTTCGTGAAAGTAATTAAGGCGGTAGTAAATGAGGCAGTCGCTGTCTTGGATGTAAAAAATGTCTTGACTTGTGTAACAGAACTAGTTGACAAATCTGCTGGAGAGAACAATGTCTTATTCACAGAGTCAGAGTTAGACGTAACAATTAAGGTTGTTGTAACTGGACTGTTGGAAGGAAAAAGTGTCGCGTGTGTCAGCAAAGATCTAGATAAAGTGATCACACCCCTACAATTATAACTTTTGACGGAAATTGTCGAATATCGAATGGACCGATTGAACAATGAACGAATACTTTCGTAATTTCCCTTCAACTAAAACAAACCGTTTGAATATATTTAGTAAGTACCGCCGCTTGCGTACGTGCATGCATAAATAAACACTCGGTTTAACGTTTTAAACATTTTATTTCTTTAAATGAAACAAGTTTACACAAATAAACAGTTCTTAAACATGGTGTCCAGGTTTACAGTGCTTTCCAGCGTTGATGGTTTAACTTTAAATACACTTCCGTACTCCATGAGCAAGTTTATAGGCAGCAATGGCACTTTCTTGTGGTCCAGTATGTCAGCTCAATCCCTCCAATGTAGAACTTTACATACGGGAAATTTTCTCTTTGTGGATTTGTTTACTCGAATCTTTGCAATTATTATCTTGGAACCGTCCACTAGCTGTTCTTCCTGTTCCTCCAAATAGTCTCCTGCCTGGTAAATCATTTCAGTGGCCAGTTTGACAAGTTCTCTTACCTATAATGCTTGCCTATAATGCTCGACGGCATATCGTGGTAAATCAGTTAATTTTCACATGTGCTTGTAGGGCACCATTTTTTCTCTTGCTGTCAGTAGACATAGAACTTGGAAATGGGATACTACGTTGGCTTATTGGTAGCTTTACTTCTAAAATATCTGCCCTGTCCAGTTCCATATCCACTTTACAGGTTTTATTTCCCTGCACGTGTGCAATGTAAGGTGCACAATGCTCGTGGGGAACTAAGCCAGCTTTTTGTAGTAGCTGTAGCTACCACAGTTGCAGACACGGCTTGTGGTAAATCTAAGCCACCGTCTTCTCGATTTTTAAAATAGCGAGCTCCGGAAATGTCTACGAGCACATTTTTGGGTTTTCCGCTTACAACGTCCATTGGCAGTTCGGAACTAAGAGTAAGGTTAGAAAGGCAACACTGTTCTTTCTCTGACCAGTACTCTACAAACTGTCAGCTTTTGTTCTGTGTCATCTCGTTGTACGTCGAGGCGACCAAACCAAAATCGCCAGTTCTGTCAAACTCCTTTATTCTTGAACGTTCTGAATACTACCGGTCGTTTCGTAATTGTTCACTACTGCATCGTTTTCAACAGGTTTGAAGTTCTTGGTGGTTTTGCTACTGTATCCTGGAAATGTCCCTCAAGATTGAGACGACCAAGTCCTGTACCTATTCTAAACATTTTCTGTTATGATTTTTGTTGATCTTTGGATTTTTGCTGACAGCGTTACCGATGCATGTTTGCCAAGCGTACACTTTATTATGTAAATATTTTTATAGGTACATAGACTTTTAATGTTACGTATATTTATGTCTTCCACTTCGGAGAAACAGTCACTGCTTCTCGGCAATTAGAGAGTAAGCTTGTTTCGTTCTGCTCCTGCGACATTGACAACTAGGAATTAGTTCTTCATCATCGTCAGAAGCTTATCGTTAATAACCTCTTAATACTATCTCAACTGGTGGTTGAAAACTGTAACGGTTGCATTAGTGGTCATCTGTCCCAATCACATCATCATTGCCTTACGATGGAAAGGCACAAACAATTATGTTTGTACTTTGACTATGCTTTGGAAAAGGTTTCGGAAGCAAAGGTCATGAACGCTTTTACCAAAAGTTTGAATGATATCAAACCTAAAGTGAACGATCTGGAACTGCTCAAAAGAAGGAAAAAGGGAGTTAGGCGAATGGGAAAATGTATATTTTTAGAGCAAAATATTGTTGCTAGGATACTGCTTTGCTTGGACTGTTCCGTTTTCAACTAATAGGAGTTTACGTTTCTATCCTTTGTGCTATATAGACTTGACATCGAACACTTTAATTACACTTCGTTTCTTTTCTGCAGGCAATAGAGGCACTTTCTCGTAGTCGAATACTCGTGCCCAGTCGCCTTCTTGTCCACGAACTTCTCGCTACAAGACGTAAAACCAATTCTGCCTTGCTTCCCATGTTTTTTAAAGTTGACAGCTCTGTTCTGTTAAGAGAATTCTCCTTTGAAATTTTCTGCAAGACCACTGTACTCTTGTTGGATCGACCAAGAAGCACGACAGGAAAAGACCCAAAAGCTATTGCCAAGTAAAGTCGAATATTTTCCAAGAGATGTTCACCACACCAACATGTGACAGAGAATGAGTAAAAAAACTGCAAAGGGTGCTTTATATAACCCATTTTTGCAAGCTAGTTACTTTCGTAGTGACGTCACAATAACGGAGCTTGACAAGCGTTAGGACATCTGGTCAGCAATCGGGCCATGGGCCGTATAGTGCCTTAAAAGGCTAAACCGGCAAAATAAAAATGAGGCGGATAACACACGTAAAAATTATTTAATTATTGGTTGGAGTTCGTTGTGCAAACATTTAAGCATGGGTCGCACGCGTAGAAGTTGTCCTATTTTTGGCTGTGGTAGTACAAACCTTGCTAGACTAGCAAATCATCTCGTTCAAGTACATGGTATGGACAGAGAGGAACGCAAGAAATGATTAAAGTGGAGTAAAATAGGTATATATGTACCTCGACAGAGCGAGGAAGCAAAGAAATTAATTAAGGAGGAAAGTCTGGAAAATTTATTTAGGGGGCAAGAAGAGATGGAGAGAAAATTTAACGCTTATTTAACATTAAGACCCCGTTTACACTGTACCCGATGAATTTGGAACCTGGCTGAAATTCGTCCGTTTCGGCCTTCTGTTTGCACGAGAACCACGGAACCGCACGAATTTGAGACCCTCTAACAGGACACATTCGCGTGTAAACCGGCGAAAAAGGACGAATTTCAAACTGGTTCGAAATTCGTCCGGTACCGTATAAAAAGGGTCTAAAACATAGACCGACCAGTAAACGAAAACCTTCTAAATCTTGGAGAAACGAAGAAACACCAGAATAAATGGTTAATATTTTAATTTGTATGCGTGTACACTACTACGAGAAAGTGCTTCTACTGTCTGCAGAAAAGAAACGAAGTGCAGTTAAAGTATTGGATGTCAAGTCTGTAGAGCATAAAGGACAGAAATGTAAACTCTAGTTAGAGGAAGACGGAACAGTGTATAACGTCAAACGTTTATTTATTTATTTATTTAAAGATTTGTCAAAAGACAGGTGTGAAATGCAATAGGACATTGGAGTTCCTTACAAGGCACTAAGCTGGAAAAAACTGTAGGAGCAGGACAATATGTTTCTAAGCTGGAAAAAACTGTAGGAGCAGGACAATATGTTTAATAACTGTTTATTTGCGTAAAATTGTTATATTTTAAGAAATATATTGTTCGAAACGTTAATATGTGTGTTAATTTATACATGCATCCAAGCAAAGTAGTATCCTAGCAACAATATTTTGCTCTAAAAATGTATGCATTTTCGCATTCGCGTTAACGCCCTTTCTCCTTCTTTTGAAGAACGTTTTATTGGTGTTGGACTGCAGCAACCTATCATTGAAGACCGTGGATACGTTCACATCCAGAACAATGTATTGGGTTCTTACGGTACATCTCAGTTTAGCCATGTCCAACGTACGATGGAAAGACCTTCCCGAAAATCCAGCACTCGACTTTCGGTCCATTCGGTATTCGACAATTTCCGTCAAAAGTAATTGTAGCGATGTGATCACTTTACCTAGATCGTCGCTAAACCCTCTGACCCTCGACACCTTTTTCGTCCAACAGCCCAGTTACAACAACCTCAATAGTTACGTCTATCTCTGTGAATAAGACATTGTTCTCTCCAAGAGATTTGCAATTAGTTCTGTTACACAAGTCAAGACCTTTTTTATATCCTAGAAAGCGACTGCCCCATTTGCTACCTCCTTAATTACGTTCACGAACCGTCGCTCTTTTTCCGTTGCAACGGCCCTACGTAGGGAAGTTTCATCATCGACATATCAAAACAGTCCGCCACCCCCTTCCATAACCGTCGAAAGAACGGAAGTTATATTTTTTAGTATATGTCACAATAGGCCCCTCATTCGGTTTTCTTTCTATATTGTTGTGTTTGTACGAAAGCTATCTGCGGTATAATCGTCGGTTGGCGGCGCAACGGAAAAGAAGAGTATCTCTACACAAGCCGCAACCATGCTCGCAAATAGATCAGACCAAGCTACCTTCTCTTGGAAGTTTGTAACCGAGTATAGGAAACATAACAGTTTTGGCCAACATCACGCTATAACTATATCAACACCATAACTATATATCAATTCATTTTATTATGTTATATTCTTTTCAACGGGAAAAATAGTAAACCTTATGTTGTCTCATACTGTGGTATGGAAATATAATATGTAAGTACAATATAAAATACGTTTACTGTAAACGCTGCGATTTGTTGTGTACGTTTCGTATTCTGACGTATGAAAGTTACTACTGAAGCTACAAATCCTCTTAATTCAGTATTTCAGTTTATCTTGAAATTTGAAATGCTACGACTTTACGTACGCTCATTCGGTTCCATACGCCAGAATACGAAACGTACATGACAAACCGTAGCGTGCGAACGTACCCATAGTAATCACGAAAACATATATACATTTTTATGTTTATATATACATGGATTGTAAATTATTATAATCCTTGTTATAATTATTATACTGTGTATTTATAACGCTTGGTTTATACACGTTTAAACTACATTATCAAATCATTTCGATTAAGTACACGGCATGGATATATCGATACGGAAGAATGGGCTAAATTGGAGCAAACGTGGGATTTGTGTACCTTGGCAGAACGAAAACAATACTGCGGAAGAACCGGAGTTAAGGATAGAGAATAAACTATATTCTTTGCTGGGACGACAGGAAGATATGGAAGCAAAATTTAAGGTGTACTTAAAAGTTGGATGGTTACAGCATTGTCCTAGTAATAAGCCATGAAAAACACTTTACTCTAATGGAAAGCAGGAACAAAATGATCAGACAAGCAATGATGCCCACCAAACACAACAAAAACGGTTCTTTTAAGAACCTCCAAATCCATAAAAAGAATACAAATGAAACTTCATTTACGATCATAATTAAACGTCAAAAAACCCTTACTCATTCACACGTGTGCGCACTTCTATGACGTCATACGATTTGGATCATCACCACTTTAATACTATGACGTCACCTCTTGCTGCGCACACACAATGTCATTTGGCGGGAAAATTCCTACATATGTGAGGGAAGGGTGGTGGGTGGTTTACATACTAATCTCATATTTTTAGGTGTTTACAAGAATGATGGTGACTTCGACGTTTACATTAATATATCCGATGTTTCTGAATTGAATGCCATACAGGTAACTATAAGTATTAGATAAAACATGAGCAGCCGATCTTTATCTGATATACAAACTCGAGCCGAAGGCAATAGTTTGTATATCAGATAAAGATCGGATACGAAAAAAAGCGACCAATCTTATGAGTTCATTGGCGAAGTAATTTTAAAAATGAACATTGTCTAAGCCCAGAAAATCAAAGTGAAAGTTTATGTAAATCAGGACAAATTTGTATCCGATTTACAAACATTGATTAAACATTCAGTTCTTTTGTATTTTCCCATGAATTGTTAATGAGTTTTTTAAGTGATGATATTGTTCGTAAATGGATACTCACAAATTATACAAATTCACACAAAACTCTCGAAAATGAAAGTTGATGAGAATTGTGCGGACTTTTCTAGTGTTTCAACTACGCTTTTGCTTAAATTAAATACATGATATTGTTTATAGATGGAAATTTCGAGTGTAAATCTTGACAATTTATTAAAGCTAACCAGGAGCTGTTGCTGAAACTATAGGGCAATGCAGGAATTGAACCTGCGGCCCTTCGAATCCAGTGCAGAGCTCTAATCAACTGAGCTACATGCAGAGGCTTCTGTAACAGTTGCGCTCTACCCGCGAGTTCATGTATATATATAGTAAGGTGATGCCAGTGTAATATGGTGTCGCAAGGCCGCAGGTTCGACTTCCTGCCATAGGGCCAATAGTTTCTCGCAACTGCTCCTGGTTAGGTCCAGTAAATATATATAAGATTTACATTTATTGGACTTAAGGTGGCTCGCTACAGTTTATAGAAATGTTGAAAATGCGTAAACTAGATCACCTTTTTGAAAAGATGATGCTCTTTACAAATCGAAATTTGTATATTATATATACAGCGACAATCAAGCAGTCAAAAATTGCTCAGAAAAGTGACGTCATCACTGTTGCTATGGCAACAGTGACGATTCAAGATGGCCGATATTTTGGCTTTGAACGCATTTTACTTTAAAAAAAGGTCGGTTACCCCCATTTTTTAAAGTAAAATGCGTTCAAAGCCAAAATATCGGCCATCTTGAATCGTCATTGTTGCCATAGCAACAGTGGTGACGTCACTTTTCTGACCAATTTTCGACTGTTTGATTGTCGCTGTATATATAATATACAAATTTCGATTTCTAGGGAGCATCATCTCTTCAAAAAGGTGATCTAGTTTACGCATTTTCAACATTTCTATAAACTGTAGCGAGCCACCTTAAGTCGAAATTACCATCTACAAAACCCGTCAACAATTAGTTTTATCGAGTGAGTTTACCTAATTGATATTGTTGGGAAAGCATTAGAAGCAGTTAACCTACAATCTCGTGCAAAAATTATTGAGACAACAAAGTTATTGCCCCTCTCCTCCCACAAATAATGTTGGACTAACGATACAAAGGTATATTGTCAAGTCAAATTTTTTCCCCACATTGTATAGGGGGAAGGGGAAAAAGTAATCAGGGACATAGAACCAAATATCAAAGTATTATTATATCTTTGCACGAGATTGTAGGTCGCATGAGTGCCACCTCTCACACATTTCAGCCTCGTTTGATTCGGGGATATACCAAGATGTCCCAACGAAACAAGAGCTAGAAAGTGATGAGTTTCGTAAATTGATAACGCCGATTTATGAAAACATGACGTTGTAGTAATTTACAATTCTGAATGTCGATTAACAAAGTTTGTCATAAGCTATAGGATGTTTGTGGTCACGTGGCTTTAGATAAATGCAATGTATTCGGCTGCGTGCATAAATAAGCAAATTGGCGACACTACTCGTATCTGAACGGAAGTTCAATGGTATCTGGATCAAAACAAAGAGTATCTGACTTGTAATAACCAAGGAGTTAAAAAAACTAATCCTAACTCCGTCGCTATGGCAACAATAACCTCACAACATGGCAGATATTTTATGTTTAAAGTAATTTAACTCGAAAAAAACGACGGTAACCCCATTTTTTATATCATAAAATGATTTCTTTTAGTATTTTGAATTATTTTCATGATTTAAAAAAAATTCTATCATGCCAAAAAAATTATTCCGAATTTTCACACTTTCCTATCTTGAAAAATTTTGGCATGACAGAATTTTTTTAAACTAGAAAAATAATTCAAAATAGCAATAGAAATCGTTTTATGAAATAAAAAAATGGGAGTCACCGATGGTTTTTTCGAGTTAACTTACATTAAACATAAAATATCGGCCATGTTGTGACGTTGTTATTGTGTTATGCCAGTCAGAAACTCTTTCTTTGTTTTTAATTAAACAAATAATAATTCTCCAGAAATTCATATCCAAATCCGAAAATCTTTCATTTAAAAAGGTGTAGGGAGCTACCTTAAATAGGTTCTTTTAAGTTTAATCTCGTCTACACTATAGAGCTTTTGTTATGAAATACAACTGTTGTATGAATGTTGTTGATTTTTGTTTCGTCGCTATATAACAAATGTCTGTTCCTTCGGGAAATAAAATTTTCCCCTCGACTCTCAATGTTTCCCTCAACTTTGTCTCAGGAAACATTGGTCGAGATTCTCGGGAAAACAAAACTATCTTCCTTGGTAGCAAAATTAAGTGTATTTTCATTCACTATATGACTTGCATCGTCGCCCTACATTATTGTAAATTTCTCTTAATTACGCTAATTTCGCTAACAAAGTCATCATCTAACACTGCACGTGTACATGTAAATAAAGAACATTCAAATAATTTTCTCAATTTGTCATTAATATTTACTGTAGGTGACCGACTCCGCCCTGCAGCTTGGTGCCGCACTTTCGCTAAATACTGTAATCCAAGAATTGATGAACTGTTCTCAGAAATCCAAGTCATTTGAGATTCTTGCAACTCACATTAAAAAGGTCAAGTGAAAATGACATATGTTTCTGCCATACTAATCTAAGACCTGCATAGGAGTTTGTATGCGTAATCTCAACATTTTTAGGGTAAAATGACCATGGCGGTCAGCATAACATATGTGGCAAAACCTGAATCCGGGACCAACATCCTGAAAACGACCCCCTCCCCCTCAAAAAGGCAGTACTAATCCTCCCCCCCGGCTATTTACACCCGGGGAAACGAAGGCATTAGCCAAGTCTAAAGTTCATCAATGAGCGCGGGCGTGGGTTACCGTGAGTGGTTCGGTGGGTGGTCATCCTCACTGATCTCAAAAATATGGCGGACTGTCATGAATAGCGGACACTGATTGGCCCAATTTAAAGTTTGCATTATAACGACTGCGTGACGACAGCGAAATTGCAAACATTTCTTGATTTGATGATTGATAAATTTCTTGCAAATATATTTCATTTTTGCTCGCATTTTTGCAAGAATTTGTAAATTTCAAAAGCGTTCTCAGAAAGAAAGGGCGAAAGAATCGGCTAAAAGAAGGGAGCCGACGTGAACGAAGGTAAGTTTGTTTTAAATATTGATTTTATAATTGAATTAAAACCCGACGGCCTTTGGCCCTTTGACTTGCTTATATGAAACAACTATAAAACTAGAAAATACAAGAATGCAGAACCCCTCGCATTGCTGACAAAACCATTGTATTTTCCGAACATGAAGTATCTAAAGTTGTTGTCATGGTAACACGATAATTTTTTTAAGAATATTCTTGCAAATGAAAAATCGCCCAAAAATATCACTTTTAATTACAAAATTATCAATTTCCCAACATATATACGTTAGGTATATTATTATACGTAATATAAGGTTCAATTTAAGGTAAAATTCAACCATAAACGCTTCGCAAAACGTTTAAATTGTTCTTTATAAAACTAAACCGCCTTTAATAAAATGGCTTTTATATCGATAAACGTTGAGTTTGCAATAAAATGATTTCAAACTCTCGCATGCAAATAACTTTCCTTTCTTTTTTATTTAAAAAATTCATTATAATAAAAAGAGAATCAATATTAAAGATACACTGAAATTATATGCTGTCTTGTTTAGTTGTTTCATATACGCAAAGGCCGTCGGGTTTAAAAGCAATTATAAAATCAATATGTAAAACAAACTTACCTTGGTTAACGTCGGCTTCCTTCTTTTAGCCGATTCTTTCGCCTTTTCTTTCTTAAAATTTACAAAATCTTGCAAAAATGCGAGCAAAAATGCGCAAAAATGAAATATATTTGCAAGAAATTTATCAATCATCAAATCAAGAAATGTTTGGTATTTCGCTGTCGCCATACAGTCGTTATAATGCAAACTTTAAATCGGACCAATCAGAGTCCGCTATTCAAGACAGTCCGCCACATTTTTGAGATCAGTGAGGATGACCACCCACCGAACCACTCAAGGTAACCCACGCCCGCGCTCATTGATGAATTTTAGACTTGGCTAATGCTTTCGTTTCCCCGGGTGTAAATAGCAGGGGGGAATTAGTACCCTCGCACGGCGCTTCGCGCCGTCGGCTCGGCGACAAGACAGCATATGATTTCAGTGTATTATTAATATTGATTCCCTTTTTTATTATATTGAATTTTTTAAATAAAAAAGAAAGCAAAGTTATTTGCATGCGAGAATTTGAAATCATTTTATTGCAAACTCAAAGTTTATCGATAAAGCCATTTAATTATTAAAGGCAGTTTAGTTTTATAAAGAACGCTTTAATTTAAAACGTTTTGGGAAGCGTTTGTACGTGGTTGAATTTTACCTTAAATTGAAGCTTATATTACGTATAATAACATACCTAACATATCTATGTTGGGAAATTGATAATTTTGTAATTAAAAGTGATATTTTTAGGCGATTTTTCATTTGTAAGAATATTCTTAAAAAATTATCGTGTTACCATGACAACAACTTTAGATACTTCATGTTCGGAAATACAATGGTTTTGTCAGCAAGGCGAGGGTTTCTGCTTGCATGTATTTTCTAGTATATTATATTTCACTTACCTCCTACGAAAATACGATTTCAGCCATATCTTGCTGTCTTGTTTGCTTTTTATCACCGAGTCTCGCAAATATCAAGAGGCGTAAGCCAGGGGAGAGGGTACTAATTCAGCCCGGCTTTTACACCCTGGGAAAGGAACGCATTAGCCAAGTCTAAAGTTCATCAATCGCGGGCGCATATGGCTATGGTTCTGTTCATGGGTGGTCATCCTCACCGATCTCAAAATATGTAGTGGACTCTCGTGAATAGCGAACACTGACTGGTCAAATTTGAAATTTGCATTATAACGACATGACGATAGCGAAATAACATTTCTTGCAAATATATTGTATTTTTCCAAGATTTTGTAAATTTCAAAACCTTAATGAGAAAAAAGCCCAAAAACATCTATAAGAAGGGAGGAAAGACGCCCCCGCCGACATATAATTTCAGTGCTTTTTTTATTAATTACCTTTTTTATTATATTAATTTTATTATATTCAGTTTATTTCAAACTCACAAATTACCAATAAAAGACAGTATAGTTTTAAGAACATTTTAAAACGTTTTGCGAAGAGTTTGTGGTAGAATTTTACATGATCAAATTGAAGCTTATATTATGTATAATAACGCATAATAACATGCCTGTTATGTTAGTGTTACATGAAGTATAGAGCGTTATATCAGGGGAGTCGTGGACGATTGGAAGTGAGCACATGTGTGTTGGTTTTATATTTTGGTACGTTGAAATAAATAACGATTTTGAATTAGACATAACATTGGCGACGAGGGTAAATTTATGCATTACCTGTTACTATTAAAGAACCAGTGACTCATTTTGGGTGTTTGCGAGAAGTGAAGATTCAAACGTGAGATAAATCTGACATATATGGTATTTGTGTCATTTTGTGAATGTATTTGATCATCATGGCGAGCGCGGGAAATCTACAGCCCATGCCACCGTTTGACCCTAAGACGGATGTTAGTGCTGTAGCACAACGTTGGGAACAATGGCTTAAGAGATTTCAAAGATATTTGCTGGCAATGAATATCAAGTCGAAAGCACGGCAGCGGGCTATGCTTTTGTACGCGACAGGTCCCAAAGTGGAGGCCATTTTTGACACGCTACTGGATAATGGTCTCGGCGATGACTTTAAGACGACGTGTGAAAAGCTCACTGAATATTTTAGTCCTTCTAAGAATGTACCTTTCGAGGTATATAAATTTAGTCAAGCTAAGCAACAAGAACATGAGACATTATAGATGCATATTATACTAGATTATGTACTTTGGCCAAAACATGTGAATTTGCAGACACAGATACTGAACTGAAACAACAAAAAATTGAAGGATGTTTATCTAATAGATCGCATGCGAGGAAAGATTTTGATGGAAAAAACATTTACCCTGTCACAAATATTAGATTATGGAAGAGCATTAGCTCGTACAGACCAACAAACAAAGGAAATTATAAAAAAGGACATTTCTGATGGTAATGAGGAACATACTAATCAATTACAACAGGATCACCGAAGACCTAGAACAACCAGTAAGTACTCGTCATCATCTAGTAAGAGATGTTTTAAATGTGGACTGGGGTTTCCACACAAGGATAACCAGAAATGTCCAGCTGTAGATAAAGAATGTTACAAGTGTCATAAAAGGGGGCATTTTGCTCGTGTATGTAAAACAACCGGAGGAGCTCCTAGTTCATTCCAGCGTGTTAATAAGGTTGATGAACGGCATTCATCAACCCACAAATCAACAAGTAATTCGAGTAGTGACTCAGACAGCAGTTCAGAACACATGTTCACAGTTCAACAAGCATAACAAAGTAAGCATCCCTATTCTACGGTCCGCGTTAATGGAGTCCCGATGAAAATGATGGTGGACAGTGGTGCGTCTGTTAACGTTTTGGGTCCTGAGGAATTCGAACATTTAAAGCAAACAAAGCAAAGAATCAATATCCTTAAAAACAACCAACACAAGGATGCATGCTTTTGGAGAAAATAACCCTATTCCCCTATTAGGCACAGTGGAGACACTAGTAGAATCAAAACATTGTATGAGAGTGACTACAATTTACATTATATCACATTTGTGTCGGTTTTCTTTGATCGTCCGAGGTTTATAACTAGCTTATATACCTTGAATAAATAATTGGATTAAACCTGTAGACAAAACGCGAGAATTTTTCATTATAAGTTTTTGAAAATGACAAGATATGTTAGAAAACCTCCACAAAAGTCGGTTTATAACTGATATATTGCCCTCGGACGCTACGCGTCCTCGGGGGCAATGCATCAGTTATAAACCTCCTACTCGGTTTATAACTCTAACTTACAGCATCTCAATATGATAAATTGCTAAGTAATACAACAGCACAGCAATTAAGACTTATTAAGCTTGATCTAAATTCAGTTTCTCAGCAAGCAGTACAAGAGGGTGATTCGGAAAGAAAAGCTTCGCGACAAACCGCAACCCAAGTTCGGATACCCACTACAACCAGTAACTCGACAAGTAGTAATGGTTAGAAAATGACAAAAGTATGCACAAGTACGCCAGACACGTACAGGGCGAGTCTCGACTCTTTTAGAAGAGTACGCAGATGTATTTGAAGGTGTAGGACATCTTAAAGGGTTTGAACAAAAACTGCACATTGACAGCGTGCCACTCGCGGCCCAAACATACCCTAGAATACCTTTTAATCTTCGTCCTCAGTTAGAGAAATGGCTTCAAGAGTCGCAGGATAATGATTTGATTGAACCTAAATGATTTAAATTAAATTAAATTAACCTGTCGTTAATAATAAAAGTACAGAGTGGGTCAGTGGAGTAGTGATCGTGCCTAAGCCAAAAATCCGGACGAAATACGCGTATGTGGGGACTATCGCAGAGTTAACGAAGCCGTTAAGAGGGAACATCACCCTATGCCTACAATTGAGGAACTAACAGATGATATGAGCAATGCAGCTCACTTTTCTCGCCTGGATTGAAGAAGCGGATACCACCAAATTGTGCTTAACGAAGAATCGCGTGGTATAACAATTTTACCACCCATAAATGTCTTTTCCAGAGGAAAAGACTCCCTTTCGGAATCAACTTGGCAGGCGAAGTGTTTCAAAATGCTATCAAGCATGCATTGCAAGGATTGAATGGAGTTAAAAACATTGTTGATCACATCATTGTTTGGGGGCGAACTCAAAAAGAACATGATGACAATCTTCAAGCTCTATTGCAGAGACTAAGAGACACAGGATTGACTGCAAAGAAAAGCAATTGCCTTTTCAACGTGGACAGTTTATGGTTTTATGGCACGATTGCTAGTAAGAATGGGATCAGGCCTGACCAAGAGAAAGTTGTTGCAATAAAAAATACATCTGCCCCAAACAATGTAAAAGAACTTCGTAGCTTTCTAGGACTCGTGAATTACTGTTCGAAGTTTATTCCTAATTTCTCCACCATTCCGGCGGCGCTACGGAAATTGGACCGAAAAAAGGTTCCATGGACATGGGACGCCAGTCATCAAGAGACCTTTGATCAGGTTAAATCTTCGCGATCTGAACAGTGTACGTTGGCATATTATGACCCTAACAGATCAACGAGTGTGGTTGTGGATGCTAGTTCTGTAGGACTACGGGATATTTTGGTTCAACATGACGAACAGGGCATTTTGAAAGTGATAGCTTTTGCTAGTAAAGCATTAACAATAGTTTAACAGCGGTACTGTCAGACATAACGAGAAGCGTTGGCATGTGTGTGGGCATGCGAGAAATTTCATTTATATTTAGTTGGTTGTCAGTTTACCTTGTATACAGATCATCAAGCGTTAGAAATCCTTTACTCAGCAAAGGCGAAACAATCTGCTCGAATACAGAGATGGGCATTGCGCCTCCAGCAGTATAACTACACGGTCGAGTCAAGTATCGTCCAGGCACAGGGAATCCGGCAGATTTCCTTTCGCGGGCTCCAATTAACGAGCCCTCGGGACAGTCTATTGCCGAAGAATATATTAACTTTGTAACAGAGCAAGCCACCCCCAGAACAATTACCTTGTAAGAGGTGCAAGAAGCGACAAAGAACGATAAAGAACTGCAGTCCGTTGGACGAACACTTCAGTCTGGCAACTGAAAGACAAATCCATATCAGCTTATTTTGCAGTACGGCATGAAATAACATCAGTAAGGGTGTACTGTTGAAAGGACACCGACTGATTATACCAATATCACTTCGAAATAGAACTCTAGCCCTGGCACACAGGAGACATTTGGGAATTGTCAAGACAAAACAAAATTTGAGAACCAAGGTATGGTGGCCTAGATTAGATAAACAAGCAGAGCAACATGTAAAGGAGTGTTTGACGTGCCAAATATCTGGTAATCCTGAACCCCCTCCGCCTCTAGCAGTTATCCCACCTCCAATGGCACCATGGTCATGTATTCATGTTGATTTCTATGGACCAGCACCTACAGGAGAGCATCTATTGGTGCTGTTAGATGAAACAACCGGATTCCCAGAAGTTGAGATTATGAATAAAACCACAGCTTTTCATACAATACGAGCGTTTGAAAAAGTTTTTGCCCGACACGGTATGCCAGACACAATTAAGACGATAATGGGTCGCCGTTCCAGTCCAAGGAAGTTAAGGAATATCTGACAACACAAGGCGTCCACCGTCACCGTGTTACACCTTTATGGCCCCAGGCCAATGGAAAAGTGGAAGGCTCCATGAAACCTATGGTAAAGCTATTCGAGCGGCTTTGGCAGAGGGTCAAGATTGGCAAAGAGAACTATTCGCATTTTTGATGAATTATCGTACTACGCCCCACCAATCTACAGGTGTGGCGTCAGCCGAGATGCTTTACAAAAGAGTAATTGGATCTACCGTTCCGTCTTTCTCTCAGGCACCTGCCAATACAGCTGCAGAAAAGGTTTTGAAAAGAAAGGATAAGTCAAAACAATATGTAGATGCCAGAAGACATACAAGAAAGTCAGCGATAAGGGAAGGAGATACAGTGTTGGTGAAACAGAAAAAGAAGAATAAGTATACAACCATGTTTCGTCCTCAACCATACAAAGTTATCAATGTGCGATATTCCAGAGTAACAGCGCAAAGGGGTGATCATGTGATTACAAGAAACATTTCGCATTTTAAGAAATTTAGTGGAGCGTATAGAGAAACTGTTCTGAAGCCTGAGTCAGAAGACGATATTACCATTGCGGCCCCACAAGCAGGACAGGACAATGATCAAGACATAATTGAAGATAGGTATCCTTTAAGAGCAAACAAAGGCGTACTGCCAGATTTTTATGGACGGTAAATAACTCCGTAGTTATTCTCGATAGTTATTTGTATACTTAGTTGTGTTATCAATCGTAGCATGGACTACAGGTTTTAGTTCGCATTATCCGATTCACTTAGAACTATTTGTTGTGAGAGAAAGTTATGTTGGTGTTACATGAAGTATAGAACGTTGCATCAGGGGGTCGGGGACGATTGGAAGTGAGCACATGTAGGTTTTATATTTTGGGACGTTGAAATAAATAACGATATTGAAGAGATAACAGTGCCTAGCATGTATATGTTTGGGGAATTGATAATTTTGAAATTAAAAGTGATAGTTTGGGGGAGGGGGGGGGGGGGTGTTCAATTTTAAAACTATTCTTA